ATCCACATATGTGCAGGAGAGATGGGAGATGCTAAAAAAATACAATTGTGAAGACACAAAGCAAAATAATTCCCATGAGGAAAAATGCAATTTGTCAAAAGAAATTGGGACAGCTAGGTGGTGCAGTGGATAGAGCACCGGACCCGGATTCAGGAGGACCTGAGTTCAAATCTGGCCTCAGACACATAACACTTACTAGCTGTGTGACCCTGGGCAAGTCCCTTAACCCCATTGTCTACCCAAAACAAAAACAAACAAACAAACAAACAAAAAGAAATTGATATAGATATGCAGGGAATTCACTAGCCAACTTAAATTTTTAAAAGTACAGAAAACTGATGCAAGGCTAGGTTAACAGAGGATGACTATGAGTGTGATGCCCTCCTGTAAAAATAGTGCCAGGAATTCTAAAGTTCAGAATAAGCTGAGGCTGGGGTGAAGGATGTGGGGAGGGGAAGAGAAAGAAGGACAACAAAATGGGAAATGGGTCTGGTGTGTGTATGTGTGTATATGTGTAAGTATGTGTTTGTTAACTATATTGGGAGAGAAAAGAGGATGATCAAAGAATAGGATAGGACTTTGGCTTACAGTGGAAGCTGTTGTTCAGTTGTGTCTGACTCTTTGTGACCCCATCTGGGGTTTTCCTGGCAGAGATACTGGAGCAGTTTGCCATTTTCCTTCTCCAGCTCATTTTACAGATGAGGAAACTGAGGCAAACAGGGTGAAGCGACTTGCCCAGGATCAGACATCTAGTAAGTGTCGAAGGCCAGATTTGAACTCAGAAAGATGAGTCTTCCTGATTCCAAACCCAGTGCTCTATCCACTGTGCCACCTAGCTGCCCCCATGAAATGACAACCAAGAGAAAGTAAAACTTTTGGCTTCTTTTTTGGCTTCTGTTTTCTCTGCCAAGGAGAATGAATTTTATACTGGAAATGATAGAAGGTAAATTGTTATCAGGAAGCTGATACCTAAGACAAATAAAAGAGCCAGTAGCCACCCTTGCTGAATTAAAGTCACCTGACCCAGATAACAACATCCTCCAGCACTGAAAGAACTAGAAGATGTCATTGCTGAATATTCAGTGATACACGAAAGAACATGAAAAATGAGTGAGAGAGACAGAGAAAAAGAGAGAGAGAGAGAGAGAGAGAGAGAGAGAGAGAGAGAGAGAGAGAGAGAGAGAGAGAGAGAGAGTGCACAAGCCCAGAGATGGACAAATGTCTCAATTTTCAAAAAAAAAAAATGGAAGAGAAGAGCCCCTGCTGACTACAGGCCCTGAAGTGTGGCCCTGAGATTCCCAGGAAAATTCTAGAATAGATAATTAAAGAGTTGATTGGTGAAAACTAGAAAGGGAAATGGTGATTACAAAAACCCAACAAATCAAACCAGACCAACCTCATTTCCTTTCGTTAAAATTATTGCTAGTCGATGAGGCTAATGCCATAGATATAGTTTGCCTAGATTTTATTGTAGCTTTTGAGAAGGAAGGAAATCAGCATTTATTAAGTGCCTACTTTATAAATAATTATTAGTTATCCTATGTACCAGACAATCCTAGACAACCACTTGCTGGGTATGGTGGAGACTCCTTCCATTTGTAGGTTGGACTCAGTGACCTGTGTGGTCTCTTCCAACTCTTCTTCCATGATCTGGAATCAGAGGACTTGCTCAGAGACCCAGATCTGCTACTCACAACCTATGTGGCACTGAGCAAGTCTCTTACACTCCCTGGGCTTCAGTTTCCTCATCTTTAAAATGAGGACATTAGGCTGGATAAACACTGAAGTTCCTTCCATTTTTGAAGCTCAAATGTTAAGTCCTTGCCTGTCCTTTGTTACTGTCCCTCCCCAATGATGATGATGATGATGATGGTGATGATGCTGCTGTTTCCAACCCAGTCAGGCCAATCTCCTTACTGTTATTCTCAAATAAATACCTTGTTCACTTTTCCCTCTGGGCTTTTGTTCAAACACTTCCCCTAACCCTGAAATGCCTTCTGATCTCTTATCTGTCAATCCATCACTTCTTCTAAGACATAGCTAAAGGCTCACTTTCCTAAAAAAGCTTTACTTAACTGATTCCATTCTGTACCAACTATTCCATTTTTTTACAATTTATAGACATAATGTACATGTGGTTTGAAAATTGCCAAATGTACTCCACTGATACTAATTGTTTTTGGTGTTTGTCATGTCTCCCTAAGAAAATGGTAAGTTCCTTAGGACCTGGTCTTCTACATCTTCATATCTCTCATGGTACCTAGTACAAAGTATTGGGCAGATTTATTGTCATTGCTCAGTTGTGCCCAACTCTTTGTGACCCCATTTGGGGTTTTCTTAGCAGAGATACTAAAGTGATTTGCCATTTCTTTCTTCAGCTCATTTTACAGATGAGGAAACTGAGACAAATAGGGTTAAGTGATTTGCTCAGTGACTTATTATAGCTAGGAAGATTCTAAGGCTGGATTTGAACCCAGGAAGAGACCTGGTGCTCTCTTCACTGCACCACCTCACTAGGGTAGAGAGTACCTCCTTAATAAGTGCTAAATCTAGCCTTCTTGTCCTCAGTGCTTCTGTATTCTGAGGATGGCTGGAAACGTCTCTCCTGCATGTTGTCCTATGTAGAAATCGTGGGATGAACAGATCAAGAGATTTAAAACCTTGGCCTCCTCCACACTCATTACCACTCAGAGCTGACCTGGCAAGATGATGAGTTATCTCACAGACCAGTCAACAAACGATGCCACTTGTGAAAGTTTTCAAGGCACTCAGATGGTTCCTATTCACGGGACCTGATTCTACTCAAAGCACCTAATATGGTCAAAAGTCTCTTTATTGCAGCAGATTTTACCTCAGGTCTGTTCCATCCTCCTCTACCCCTGTCCAAAACAAAACAAAACAAAAAAAGGCGTCTAAAATAGACTAGTGATGATGCTGAGGCAAACTTTACACAGTAGCTTTTGATCATTTATTCACCCGGCTGTGTCAGAAAGTTTCAACCTAGAGTCTGCAGAGATAGCACTAGACTTGAAGTCAGGAAGCCCTGGGTTCAAATCCCACCTTTAACCCTTATTAACTGTGTGACCATGGATAAATCACTTAATTTCTCTGAGCCTCCAGCTTCTCATCTACAAAATGGGATTAACAATACCTATAGTAACTTTCTCAAATCACTGTTTTTTGAAGTTCAAACTAGATAATGCACACCAAGTGCTTTGCACGTAGCTGCCTGGGGCAGCTAGGTGGTGCCATAGTACACAGAGTGCTGTGCCTGGAGTCACAAAGACCTGAGTTCAAATCTAACCTCTGACACTAGTTGTGTGACCCTGGGCAAGTCACTTAACCTGTTTGCCTCAGTTTCCTCATATGTAAAATGGGAAAGATAATAATAATAATAATAATACCTACCTCCTGGGGTTGTTATGAGGATCAATTGAGATAATAACTGTAAAGTACTTAGCACAGTGCCCAGCACATAGTATGTGAATGTTAGCCATTATTTGTAAGACTCATCTTCCTAAGTTCAAATCTGGCCTCAGACACTGACTAGCTGGGTGACCCTGGGCAAGTCACTTAACCCTGTTTACCTCAGTTTCTCATCTGTAAAATGAGCTGGAGCAGGAAATGGCAGACCACTCCAGTATCTTTGCCAAGAAAACACCAAATGGGGCCATGAACGAGTTGGACTTAACTGAAACAACAGAACAATAACACAACAAGAAGACCCCAACTCTGTTATTTGCCACTGAGGTTTTGGTTATGGTAGAGCTCTAATTTTTCTTGGAGAAAAATTCCATAAAGCATAGCAAGAAGATAATTGAATCCTAAGTTTCTTCCTCTGTAAATGAGAACAAAATTGGATAGTGTTGTTATGAGAAAAGTACTTCATAGCCTATAAATTACTATCTATGTGGGCTATTCTTATTTTGTTATATTATTTATAATAATAATAATAATAATGATAATAATAATAATAATTATTATTATTATTATTTTTTCCACCATCTAGGGCAGGGCTTCTTAACCTGATGCCCACAGAATCCAACAGAAAACCAGGGGGTCTATGGATGGATTTCAGGGGTTCTGTAAACTTGGATGGGGAAAAATCATATCTTTATTTTAGCATAGCTGGCTTGTTATTTTACTTACATAAAAACATTATTGTGAGAAGGGACATACATAAAGGCTTCCCCAGACTACCAAATGGGTACATGATACACACAAAAAGGTTAAGAACCTCTGGGGGTTCAGAAGAACAGAGCAGAAATCACCTTTAATCTCTCTTGGCCTTCATGTATCTATAAAATGAGGGATTTGGCCTCAATCAACTGTTAGGCCCCGGTCATATCTAGGTTCTAATGCACTGGTCAGCTGCTGAATGTCTGATACAAACCTAATCTAAGAGGATGATTTGTATCTAAGGACTCTATATCCTCATGGTCATGGGTCTAGATGCTTCTCAACCTTCTGGGAGAAAAAAAAGAAGACCTTTGCATGCCTCTACTGGACAGCCAATGCAGGGTAATTCAACAAATATTTACTATCTATGGTGTGCACAGCACTCCATTAGGTGCTGTGGGTGATTCAAGAGAAGAAGAAAGCTTAATTTCCCTTACCGAGCCTGAAATCAAAATGGCAAGATAAGATACTGTATATGAAAGAACCTTATGTTAGAGTGTTAGGGATTATAAAGGTGCTACAAGAGTTCATAAGAGAAAAAGGTCAGGATAGGCTAAGATATTTAGGGAAGCTTCATGAAGGAGGTATGACTTCTATACGCTCAGTATATGGATTGAATTGGGGGAGCCTGTTTGATACACTCTTGTATCCCTACATAGCTCTCAACACAGGAACTGGCCAGAGAAGGTGCCCTTTAAAAAAAATAATTCTGGGATTAAAAGAAAGCATTTTTACTGGAATTACTGTCCTTTTTTTTTTTTTAAATTTAGAGGCATCTTTCTCCAGTGCTTCTAAATATTGCACAGGGCTGGCTAACTTACCAAGGTCATTATTATTCATCATGGCATTAGAAGCCCGGAGCCGAGGGCCTTGCTGTGTAAAATGATATCCAAATTTTAAAAGAGTTGTATTTTGTTCCAACATGCTCACAATCTCCATTTCCACCTTGTTTCCCAGGGGCTGGCTCTTTGAGAAAAAAGAAAAAAGAAAGAATTGTGTGAGAATCAAGCATCTCCTATTTGATTCCCTGACCCAAGCTATACTATAAGCACCCTCTTTCTCAAATGAACAGTATCAACAGGCCAAAAGTTGTCCTTTGTTGTCTGAGGAAAACAGACAAAGGAAGCTAGATATTCTGCTCTCTGCTACATAGGAAACAATTAGAAACTGAACAGTGGAAGATAAGAGAACCAAGTAAATCTGACCTGACTCTGAAATTTGAGGCTTTCTTTGATATAAACAGAAATATAGTCAGTAAGTCATTCAAAAAGGCTCCTCTGGAATGTTACTTTTCCTAATGGCCTGGTGTCAAATGAAATTTCTCAAGACTCTAGATCAGGGTAGATTTCAGTGGGTCTGTGGGTAGGAAAAATATTAATCCTGTGTATTTTATTTTATACATTTAAAAATATTATTCTGAGAAATCCAAAGGCAACAACAGATGACTAATGGGGTCCATGCCCCTTGACATAGATAATCTGAGAGTTAAGACCTACTTTAAAGTATTATGAGTTCACCTATATTCCTTGTGAGATAAAATGCTGCAAGTATAGGCAAGAAACCAACAAAAGCTTATATTCACTAAACCTGCTCTAGTGCTATTTATCAGTACCACTGATGAGGACCCTCAAAGCATCCATAAAAGCAAAGGCCTGTCCACAGAATGATGCATATCTAGATCACTGGAAGTCTTTAATGTGTCATAAAACAGACACTGGACTGTGCTGGGCTGGCAGACGATGTATGTTTCCCACTAGTCAGGGAAGGGACTGAGAGCCCCATTATTAGCTAGGAAATGTGGCACCCCTCTCTGCATCATTAGCTCAGAAATGTCCCAGCCACTCCCAGGAATGTTCTATTCAGGAAAGCTAATGTTACATTAAAATAGGAGCTGACCATTAAAAAAAAAATCCTACACCTTCCCCCTTCCCACCATGTGATGATCACATCGAAGGTGGGATGGCATGGTTAGGGCTTGAGTGTCAAGTAAGAACTGAGACAGAAGCAAAGAAGCTTGCTTTAGGAAGAAATTGGTCAAGGAGAAATTTCATTCTATAGATTCATAACATTTAAAACAAACTTGCACGTAGAATTGAGTTTTTACCTATAATCCTTCCTTGACTGGAGGCTTCCCTGACATAAGTTGAATCAAACTTGGAATTTGTTTTATGGTTCTGGAAATTTCAATTAGAGATTTTTTTTTCCCATCCAGGTATCCAGACAGACGTGGATGAATTGTTCTTGACCCTATCCTACACATATAATATACCAAGGAAGGAAAAAAAGAATGGAGCTCATTTTCATGCCCTCTTCCTTTTCTAGCCTCCAGATAAGCAATTTAGATTAGTATGTCACCCCTCAGGTTCCCCTGGGGTATCTCATTGTAGTCATTCTTTTCACATTGTATCCCCAAGTCACCCATGAAACCAAGGGTCTTAAAAATCCTACTCATTTTGTTGTATAGTAGATAATGGGAACCCCAGGGAGAAGTGACAATATCATCTTATAACTTTGTAAAAGGAGATGAAAGTTTAGCATGGTCTGTCACACATCCTAGAGTTAAGAAAAGCAGACTGATAATGGTTTCAAAAAATATATAGATAGGCCCCTAGAGGCTAAAATTCTACAGAAGAGGCCAACTTAAGAGGAATGGAAAACTTTCAAGAATGAAATACAGAATATCCAAACAAAAATTCCATTCAGGAAAAAAAAAGGGTGTTATCTGCTGACAGAGACCAATGTGAATACACAGAGAATTGGTCGACCAATTTAGATTTTTTTAAAAACACATATATAGGGGCACCTAGGTGACGCAGTGGATAGAGTCAGGAGGACCTGAGTTCAAATCAGGTCTCAGACCAGACACTTGACACTTACTAGCTGCGTGACCCTGGGCAAGTTACTTAACCCCAATTGCCTCACCGAAAACAAAAACACATACAAAAATAAAAACACATATATACAAGGTGAAAACAAGACCAGATAATGGAATATGAATACAAAAACATCACATTGTCCTGTAGAAGGAGCGCCAGCAACCTTTGGCCACATAATGAGAAGATGGGACTCATCAGAAAAGACCCTGATGTTGAGAAAGATTGAAGGCAAAAGAAAAAGAGAATGGCAGAGATGAGAGGAATAGATAGTGTCATGGAAACAAGGAACATGAATTTGGATAGACTTTGGGAAAAGCGGAGGGTAGAAAAGCCTGGCGTGCTCATCAGGTCTGAAAGAGTTGGACACAACTGAATGACTGAACAACAAAAAAGCCAGTAATGAACCTAAGGACAATAGAAAGTGCTTTTTAAGCTAAGTAAAAAAGAGAGGCATGAAAGAAGGAATAGGACTGCTATTTGGGACATTCCTTCCTTGATACATATCCTACATTGACCTTTTGTAGAGTCTGATGTCATCAACCACTGCCTCCTCGTTGAAATTTTCTCCTTCTTTAGTTTCCCTGACACTCCTCTCTCCTGGTTCTTTTTCTACTTTTCTGACCCTTCTCAATTTTGTTTGCTAGGTCATCATCTGTTTCTAACCCCAATCACCTGTTGTCCCTTGAGCATGGGCATCACCTAAGGCCCTGTCCTTGCCTCTTTTCTCTCTCTACAAACTCCTTCAGTGACCTCACTATCTCCCATCAATTCATTATCTGCAAATGACTCCCGGATCCATGTCTCTAGCCCTTATTTTGCTCATGAGCTCCATGCCTAAACCCCAACTGCCTTTTGGCTCTAGATGTCCTATCAGCATCACAAATTCAACATTTCCAAAATGGAACCAATTTAACTTCTTCTTCTCCCTGCCCCTGAACTCCTTCCTCCAACAAAGCTTCCTATTTATGTTGAAGGCATCACTGTCCTTTTCAGTCATCCATGTTCAAAACTTTGCAGTTGTCCTTGACTCTTCTATCTCCCTGGCTTCCCACAGCCAATCAGTTGATAGGTCTTGTTTGTCTCTACACCTTGGTCTACATGCATACCATTCTTTTCTCTTTGGCCTCCTACATGGCAAAACCTTAGCAAAAGTTCTTATCACCTCTTCACTGTACTAGTAAATTGCTTCCTAACTGGTCTCCCCATTTCCAGACTATGCGTCTCTAATGCATTGTTTACACTGTTTCCAAAATAATATTCTTTAGATACAAATCTGACCCTGTCATTCCTCTGCTCAAAAATCTCCAAGGGTTCCCTATTGCCTCTAGAACAAAATACTAACTCCTCAGTCTAGTATTTAAATCCATACAAAGTCTGGCCCCTAGCTACCTACTTCTCTCTGCTCTTTTCCATACTTCTTCTTGTTGTTGCAGGTAACCCTTCCACATACTCAGCATTCCAAGCCAACTCAGTCTATTAACTTCCCCAAATTCAGCATTTTACTGACCATCTCCATTCCTTTGCATAGTCAAAGCACCATGCCTGGAATTTAATCTCTCTACACTTAGACCTTTTAGAATACTTAGCTTAGTTCAGATGCAACCTCCTATGTGAAATCTTCCTTGACTGATCTCTTCCCACCGGGTTGTTAGTACCCTCTCCATCCTAAAATCTTTGTTTACATATCTGTGTATGTGCAAACACAAGTGAAATGTAAGGAACTGCCTTTTTCTTTTTTTGTCTTGGTAGTCATAGAAACAAACACAGTGCCCTGTACTTAGTAGTCACTTAATAAATGTTTGTTGTATTGAACCATGTGCAAGAGTACAGAAAGACATATGTTCTCTAGATTTTCAAAAAAATAAAAGTTTGGTTTCAAACTATAGGCAAGTTGCCTTGACTTTGATTCTTGGCCAAATTCAAGAATAAATTATTAAAGGAATATCTTGTGAGCATCAAGAAATGAAAGTGGTGATCATTAAGAGTCAACATGGCTTTACCCAGAAGAGATCCCATCAGACTAACTGTGTTTCATTTTTTTGGCAGGGTTATTGTACCAAGAATGCTTTTGATAACAATTTACCTAGAGTTCAGCAAGCATTTAGCAAAGTCTCTCATGCCACCTTCATGAATAAAATAGAGAGATGTGGGATAGAGTACAATTAGGTAAATTGAGAAGTGGTAGAACTCACTGAATTCACTAAGTACACAACAAAGAACATTTGCTGAAAAGAGATCTCTCATGTGATCTGTCCTTGGCCCAGTGCTATTTAACAATTTTATCAATGACTTGAATTAAAGCATTCATGGTATGATTATGCAACTTGCAAATGAGGGAACTGGAGGAGATAAATGATGTATTTTATACCAATCAGGATCCAAAATGAGCTTGACAGCCCAGAATCATGGGCCAAATAAGGATGAAGTTCCTTCCTACATGAAGTTCCAAATAAATTAACTTCACAACTACAAAATGGGAGACGTTTGGTAAGCAATAAGTTGTGGGGGAAAGATAGTAGGGTTTTAATAGACTGCAAACTCAAGTGTCAAAAATGCAGCATGGAAGCCAAGAAAGTGATCTTGGGTTACATTACTGCACTGTGTGTGCCCTGGTCAGACCCTATCTAGGGTACTGTGTTTCATTATAGGTACCACTTGGGGGAAGAACATTGGCAAGCAGGTACATATCCAGAAGAGAGCAACCCTAATGTTGAGTGGTCCTGAGTCCATATTTTTGAGAGTAAGATGAAGCTGCTTTGCCTAAGTAAAAGAAACTTAGGTGGGGCTACAGGACTTCTCCCCAAGTATTTAAAAGTGTATCATTTCGAAGAGGAATTAACTAAAAACAATAGAAGGATGTTGCAGAAATGTAGGTTTAAGCTCCATGGAAGGCAGAAATTATCATGCGCTGCCTTTGGAGGCAGTATTAATTCCCCTGTCATTGCAGGTGTTCAAGTAGAGTCTTAATGGCCAATCATTAGAGATAGCATAGGAATGTTTCAAATACCTCTTTTTATTGACTGCCCATTTTTTTCATGGTTATGCTCAGGTTTATACTCTAGGTAACCTTGGGTTACATCTCGAGCTCCGTTGCTCTTTGAAACACATTAGTACATTCCCTCCCGCAGTTTAATGGAATTATTAAATTTAATGACTACATGTTTAGGAACTTGTAGCATAGGTCTTTTTCTGGAGGTGATCTATAGATTCTTTTGATTGGCACTTTGTTTTCTATGTTGTTTTGTTTGTCCCCAGTGACATCAGGAGGGTGATACCCTGACTTGCAAGTAAATTGGATTTAAGTGAGGCAGGGCTGTGCAGTCATCAGCTTCACTCTCTCCTCCAGAGTCATCTGGGTATAGTGGCAAGACATTGGTCAGGACAACTGGTGAAGGCCTGGGATGCAATGGGGGACCTTGGTCTTTTAAGCTGAGGTCTTTTCCAGGTCTCAGTTTGTCTGAGATAACATCTCTTCAGTGATTAAAGGCTATGTAAAAATTGAGGCAAAAGATGGCCTAGTTTGCCTTCACAAAAGATTCAATCTGGATGGGAAAGACCCTCCGAGTTTCTGTCCAGAACAGAAACAATTGCTATTTACACTCACTCTGAGCCATCAAAACACAAACAATAAGCAAGTGAGGCTTGGGCTGAGACTTATTATTGGCCAATCAGTAAGAACCAGAGTGATTTAGGTTTAAAGGCATAGGTAAGTAACTTTGAACCCCAATGGGCTTTATCAAACCCTGGTTTTTCCAGAGCTATATATTAAGAAATCATAAATGAAAACTACATGAGACAAAGCCGTTAATTGTCCCAGTGTTTTTTTTTGGGGGAAAACAATGATGGAATAAATAAGTAGGGAAGAAAAAAATCTAGCCTCCAAACTCCAAGATATCTTGCAAAGTATAAGCAATCAGAATTTACATTCCTTCAGACAGAGCACCCACTTCTAAGGGTATGACTCCCCACATGTCTTCTATGTTCAGACTGAAGAAAGGAAGAAAGGAGAGAGAGAAAGAGAGTGAGGGAGGGAGAGAGACAGGCAGGCAGGAAAGATCATAATAAACTTTTACATTTATTTAATCTATTAAGTTTTCCTTGCCAAGTTCCTTGATAACTTTTTACTATACTCTAATGTAATGGAAAACTTACATGGTCAGTTTTCTTGTAATTCCATGTAGGAGACCCAAAGGATCATCGAACAATAAAGAAAAGAAGATAAGGTAGTCGGCCATCAATCAAGGTACTTGACCTGCATTGATATTGCAGCCCAACAAAAGATAAAGGTAAAGAGGGGTCCTGAGCTTTGAGGCCAATGCTAGACTGGTATGAATCTCTAACGAAGAGATGAGCTGGCTAGAAGACACATGTGCTTTCCTCAGTTCTTCTTTTCCTTAGCTTTGCTCTTCTTCAGGCCTGACCTTCTGCAGTGGATATCAAGTTTCACCTAACTCCATGTGGATGTGACACTCTCCAGGCACCCCTTTTGGGACATCTGTTCAGCACAATCCCAATGCCCATTCCTACAACTGCTGGTGAATTTGGACACATTCTTCCTTCCATCTGTTCTCCCACTCATGCCTCTGAAAGAATAGCTCAGAACGGAGGGGAAGGTTAGTGGGAGAATAATGGCTGGTGAAATTATATAGCAGAGGAATCAGACTATCTCAGATGCCTCTTGAAGGATAATGAAGATAAAAGACCTCTTGGCACTGATGAAAAAATAAGCTCCCCAACCACAAAGAATAACAACAATAATAATGAGAGCTAACATTTATATAGCACCTCCTATGTGCCGGGCACTGTGCTAAGAGCTTTATAATTAAAGAAGAAATTGCCTAGGATAAGAAAGAATCATATCTGAGTGTCAAGGTATAATCTATACCTTTTAAGGAGTGTGAAAAACAAAAGAATGACAAGACCAAAACAGGTTGGACCAAATGTTATCCTAGATTTAAAGCATTCAAGAAAATAACCTGAGAGGCAGTCTGGCAGATGGGGTAGAAAACCACCCATGGAGTAAAGAAATCTGGGGTGCTTCTCATACATACTAGCTAAGGAACAAAGGACGAGTCATTTTATCTTTCCCTGTCTTTAGGCAACTCTCAAAGGCTCTAAATTGCAAAGGAGTTGCCAATACGCATTGGTGAAAAGAATTCCCATACCAGAAGTTTCTTATATCAATGAAAGCATTGGTTCAAACCTAAATATATAATAAGCAAGTAAATAAACAATGAATGAATGAATAGATGGATAGATAGAAATATAGATAACCAAAGATTAATATTTCAGCCAGCAATTCACGGGAAAATAAAACAAAAAAAAGGCACAGAAGGTAGGGGAATTAACAAACACTGGGAAGTACTGGCAATGTGAAGACAGGGAAAACTGTCTTCTAAGCAACTAGCTAGCTACAGAATTGTGGGAAGTCATTTAACTCCCTGGGCCTCAGTTTCCTTCTTTGTAAAATGGTTCCTAAGGTGCTGACTAGTTCTAAAATTCAGAAGAGAAGAACTGATGCTCATCTTACCTGGTTGTCAATTTTCAGTTCCGTCAATGAAGTATTGTGCTGAAGGGCTTCTACCAGGGACAGGATACCAGATCCAGAAATGAAGTTTGATTCCACATTAAGGCTCTTCAATACAGGATTAACCTTCAGCATTTCAGCTAGTGCCTTCAATCAGAAAAGAGAAATGATGTGCATTAAGCCACATCAGTTACCTTAGCAAAGACCTAAAAACTTCTCTCAATAATCCTAAAAATTGGAACACATTTTGCAAATAGTATGGCTTGCTAGCATAAAAATGCTGAGGAACAGAGTCTAAAATGCCTACATGAAACCTGATTTCTCTTAACCCTTGTCCCTTCCATGTTCCAGATGAAATGAATTTCACAGAAGAATTTTCCTATGCTGAGTACTGGGGAGAAGGAAGGGGAGTGCTTGTTTTATTCGGTTTTCTTTATAGCCTTAGCTCTTAGCACAATGCCTGGCATGTAGTGCTTAATAAATATTCGTTAACTGCTTGACTGGTTTTATTTTATTTTTTAACAGGGAAGAAATGAGAGTGGGGAACATAAGTTTCTCCCTTGTTTTCCACTGGGTAAAACACCAGGGGAGAAAGCAAAGCTGCTGACCAGGAGTAGTAAAAACCTAGGTCACAGTCAGAGCGTTCAGAGGGATTTGGCCTGTTAGCTATTGAGATGATAATCAGTAGGCTCTAGGAAAATGAAATAATTAGTAACTGGTTGAAGTAAAGTTTCATTGGGTAAGAAACTCTTAGGCAGAAAACAGAACTTTCAGAAATGACAAGCACAAATGCAAATCAATGATTTCCCACTGTTGGAAATGGCAGGTTCCCCTAAATTGGCATGCCCTGTATGGGACAAACAGCACCCTAGCTCTGTCAATGGTGGTAGAATTGGCGCTCCTTTTGAAAATCTAACCTAAGATTGGTTATATTTGCTTGCCATTTTTTTTTAGTGAGGCTTTAGAGGTTAAGTGACTTGCCCAGAGTCACACAGCTAGTGAGTGTTATGTGTCTGAGGCTTGAACAGAGGTCCTCCTGACTCCAGGGCCAGTGCTCTATCCATTGCGCCATCTAGCTGCCCCCTCCCCTTGCTATCTTTCTCTAAGAAAAGTAACAAATTTTGACCCAGCAATAGCACTTTTAGGGCTATATCCCAAAGAGATCATACAAATGCGAAAGGACCCACATATACAAAAATATTTATAGCAGTTCTTTTTGTGGTGGCAAAGAATTGGAAATTGAGAGGATGCCCATCAATTGGGGAATGGTTGAACAAGTCGTGGTATATGAATGTAATGGAATACTATTGTGCTATAAGAAACAATGAACAGGCTGACTTCAGAAAAACCTGGAAAGACTTGTATGGTCTGATGCTGAGTGAAGTGAGCAGAACCAGGAGAACGTTGTACACAATAATAGCCATGGTGTACGATGACTAATATTGATAAACTTAACCCTTCCCAGCAATACAAGGATCTAAGACATTTCCAAAGGCTGCGTGATGGAAAATGCTATCCACATCCAAAGAAAGAAATATGGAGTTTGAATGCAGATCGAAGCATACATTTGCTATTTTTTCTTCTGTTGTGTTTTGTTTCCTCTTTCTGGTGGTTCCTCCTATTGGCTCAAATTCTTACTTACAACATCATTAATGTGAAAATATGTTTAATAGGAATGTATATGTAAAGCCTATATCAGATTGCGCACTGTCTTGGGAAGGGTGGTGGGGAGGAAGGGGGAGAAAAATTTTAAACTCAAAAGCATATGGAAGTGATTACTGATAAATCAAAATAAATTAAGAAAGAAAAGTAACAAATAAAAGCAAGATCAACCCACTAGTGAAAATATTTCATCATATCAACTTTGATAAACTTAGCTCTTCTCAGAAATACAGTGATCTAAGACAATTCCAAAAGTCTCATGATGGAAAATGCTATCCACATGCAGAAAAAGAACTATGGAGTCTGAATGCAGATCAAAGCATACTATTTTCTCTTTTTTTTTCTTTCTCATGGTTTTTCCCTTTTGTTCTGATTCTTCTTTCACAACATAAGTAATGTGGAAATATGTTTAATATGATTGTACATGTATAGCCTATATCAGATTACATGCTATCTTAGGAAAGGAGGAAGGGGAAAGATAGAAAAAAAATTGAACCTCAAAATCTTATAAAAGTGAATGTTGAAAACTAAGAATAAATAAATAAATTTTTTAAAAAGAAAGAAAATATTTCATCACTAAAATTCTAGTGTTTTTCTAGGAACCAGCCAGGCCTATACCCCTCTAAGCAGAAATGTGCAATGTACCCAATGTTCATATTACCATAGCTACCCAGTTTGCAGAACTCATCCCCAAACCCACCTTTCCCTCAATTATATGAGTAATTCAGAACCACTGGATGTCAGAGCTAGAAGGGACCCCAGAGGCCATCTAGTTCAACCTGAACAAAAAACAAGAATCCCTTTTACAGTTTCCTTAACAAGTGGTCCTACAAACTATGTTAAAAGGCCTCCAACTAAAGTATGAGTTCTGTGTCAATCACTTTTATAATTACAATGTACCTCCCTTGGATACAGTGATTGCTGTATCTACCCCTCATAATTATTTGGGGGTGGATTCCTATATTACTATTCCAATAGGACCTTAAGCTAGTTAGCATTTATATAGCACTTTACAATTTGTAACATGCTTTTCAAATATTATCTCATTTGATTTGCACACCTACCCTGAAATGGAGGTGCTCATATGACACTCATTTTACAGATGAGCAAACTGAGGTAGACAGAAATTAAGTGGCTTTGGCCAGATTGGAAATCAGTTCTTCCCGATTCCCAGGTCCAGCACTCTAACCACTGTGCCATTTAGCTGCCTTGAGAGGTCAGTTGGTTCCTGATTATGCCTCCAAAGAGATATTATAAGACATCCTATCTCCATCTCCTAAGGCTGCAGCCAATGTATATCACCAACACAAGTTGAAACTGGACCAAAGCCTCCCTTTCTACTACCCAAAATGATTCCCATCCCTTTTTCAACATCTTGAAGTCAGTTGAGGTCTGGTAAATGAGTATTAAAACTAATCCCAGGCAATGAATGACCCCCGTTGGCCTGAGGGTTTCTGTTCACTAATTAACAGGCTAATGGTACCTACATATGCGACGGGATTCATTACTCCTTGTTCCTACAATGCTGAATTTCTTCACATATGTATTTTCCTTCAGTGCTTCTGCATACGCCTTTAGAGTCGGTATGGGAATGTTCTGTGGGGAGAAACCCATGAGATATAATGAAGCTCAGATAGAGCAGGGACTGTTAAGCAGATATTCTGCAGAGTACTCAACCAGCACATCACAGACACTCAAGGACTATGAAATCACGACCACCACCTGCTTCCCCCCAAATAAATAGGGCCTTCCTTTCAACAGGCTATAGGCCTTACCAAAGAGAGTGAAATTTGGTCAGAACCCTCTGGAAAAAAATTGTTGCTATTCAGTCGTTTCAGTTGTATCCTACTCTCCATGACCCCATTTGGGGTCTTCTTGGCAAAGATAGTGGAGTGGTTTGCCGTTTCCTTCTCCTGCTCATTTTACAGATGAGGAAACTGAGACAAACTAGTTTAAGTGACTTGTCCAGGGTCACATAGCTAGTAAGTGTCTGAGGCCAGGTTTGAACTAAGGTCTTCCTGCACCCTATCCTCTGAACCACCTATCTGCCCCAACAGATTCTCTCAAATACACGAAACTAAGGGAATTAAAAACCAAGGGGAAAGAGTGCATAGATGATATTACGGGTTCAAAACTTCTCCTTAGCTGCCTATTAATGCACTTATTTCAACAGTATGTGTACATTAATAACCTGGAGGAGGTGAAATGTGGTATTCATATTTATCTTATATCTTATATAAATATCTTTATATTTATTCTTCATATATTTATATATGCATTGCCTTTCCCTTTAAAATATAAGTTCCTTGTGAATAGGGTCAATTTTATTCATTGTATTTTTATCCCTAACATCTGGTACAATGCCTGGCATATAGTAGACCCTTAATGATACTTATAGATTGGTTAAATTGATATGGCAATAATAGCTAATTAGCTAATAACTAATGATCATATGCATCTAGGTGACTTAGTAGATACAGCACCAGGCCTAGAGTCAGGAAAACCTGAGTTCAAATCCAGCCTTAGACACTTATTAGCCATGCAACCTTGGGCAAGTCACTTAACTCTGTTTGCCTCAGTTCCTCATCTGTAAAAATGAGCTGGAGAAGGAAATGACAAACCACTTCCATTATCTTTGCCAAGAAAACCCCAAATGGGGCCACAAAGAGTTAGACACAACGGAAACGAGTCAACAACAACGATAAACGTTTATATAGGGCTTACTATGTGCCAAGCACTGTGCTAAGCACGTTTGACAAATATCTCATTTGATTATCACAACAAACCTGGGAGATAAGTGCTATTAATATTCCCATTTTACTGATGAAGAAACTGAGGCAAATGGCAGTTCAGTGACTCGCCTAGGGCCACAGAGCTAGTAAGTTTCTGAGGCCTGAGTTGAATTCAGGTATTCCTGACTCTATGCCTAGTGCTCTAACCACTGTATTATCAGCTGCCTAACCTTTGGCAAAAGGTTACATATAATTTTTCTGTGTGAATATGTCCATAGAACCCATCTGTTAAAATGCATAACAATTCAACAACGCTAGATAGGACTAAAATTTTTTTGAAGTTTTTCTTGCCTAAGAATATAATTCTAATTCTTCACTGGGGGCCATGTACAGTGAAGAAAGAGAATTCTGGCCATCACAGAGCCTGACATTTCCAATCTAGTTGTTTACCATTGTTGGTAACCACACAAAAGGGGAAAGAAAAGAAAGGAGAAAAGAGATATCAAGCACCAGCCCAGAATGAATTCCATCAGCTCAGAGAGGAACAAATCAGCAAGGCAGGCTGGGGCAGAACCACATCTATGCATGGTTCACTGTAACTCTACGGTTCCTTCCCTGATCCTATTTTCCATGTAAAACTGGAAATCTGAGGCTCATGAAGGGGAAAGAAGGCAATGTAGAGTTAAATGTAAGTTCCAATATCCTAGTGGACTGATCTGTAATCTCAGTGATGTTGGAGTAGTCTCTCCATCGAGGCAGGACACAACACATTCAATGCCTGCCCAGCCTTGACAACGCTTATCCATTTCATCCCATTAATATAAGCACCAGGACAAAATGGTGACATCTGGTTCTGAATGCTCCTCTCAGCATCTTTGTAATTTACGCAGCTTCATTACACTAGTGTTGCAAGATAAGGTAGAATGAGAGATGATCTAGCCATGAAGGTCAAGATCAAATAAGCAGTGATGACTTTAAGTAACAGCTGGTGAATGAGTTTACACAACAGGATTTTTAAAAATTAATTGGCACTGTTTTTAAAGGTTAGCCACCTTAGCATTTGAAATCCCTAATGCAAGAAAGCTCTGCCTACATTACTTGGTTTTTTAATCTCATACAGCTCTCCTGTTTTAAATAATAGGGCAGGTTTCCCAGTCAAGAGTCAATCTTGTCAGTGGTATACAACTGTATCTGATGTTAATCCACAGCAGAGCCTCTGTTTGTTTATTCACACTGAGTTTGTGGTATAAAACCTTCTTCAACAAATTGAATGCTGATTAAGCCAACAGTTGATACTTCTTCCTAAGACAGAAATGTAGACTGTTGAAATAAGCCCTTATTGTTCTGTTCAATTATATCTTGACCATTTCTTCCGAGATGGCATATATTTAAATGACTTCTCTTCCCCGGTCCCCACCTGAAATTAAAAGGAGAAATAAATACCCGGATATTATTGAGATTGACTTCTTCAAGTTTGGGGTCATTATTCTTTATTCGTTCCAGGGTTTCCTCTACATCTGTTGAATTTGGTTCTTCATCAGGAACTGGTTTATATTGTGTTGGCTTAATAATACCTATTGTATCCAATAAAAAGGGAAATGTTATTTGGAAGAAAAGGGGAAAAAAGTTTTTCTTAAGACCATACACATTTAAAAGGTTATTTTTAAAATGTCTTTTTTATTGTAAACATAACAAGCATCAAAAACAAACATTTCAATTATCAGAAGACAGAAAAGAGGTTAGTATATGAAACTGCAGACTTTTGTTAGGTAGTATTTTAAGTTTAACATGCTATTAACACAATTGTCTTGCTTGTCTCTGTTCCTCTATGTATTTTAAAATGTGTCACTGATGCTTTTATTTTCTTCTTTTTTTTTTTTTGGCATCACTCTCATTACTCACCAACTCCCTCCCCCTTCCCAAATGAATCCTTGTAGCTAATAACTATAGTTAAACAAAATAAATCAACCCATTGGTTATATCTCTAAATTTATGTCTCTTTCTGCTTCTTTAGTCTACCATCTCTCTATATGTTTCATCATCAATCTTCTGTAGGTCTAATTGGTTGCTTCACTGATTAATGGTGTTTTCCACATTATTAGGATGACGATGTAAGTTGTCTTCTGGTTCTGCTCATTTCAGTCTACATGCATTCATACAAATCTTCCCACGTTTCTTTGAGCCATCATATTAATTTCTTACCAGGCATTAATACCCTATCACATTAGTGCATCAGCTAGGTGGCCCAGTGGATCAAACACTAGATCTAGAATCAGGAAGAACTCAGTTTAAATTTGGCTTAACACACTTATGCTGTGAGACCCTTGGCAATCTCTTAATCTCTGTCTGCCTCAGTTTCTTCATCTATAAAATGATGACAATGAAGCAACCTATCTATCAGCATTGCTGTGAGGATGAAATGAAATAACATTTACTAAGCACCACATAAATGTTAGCTATTATTATTATTAATATACCGTATCTTGTGTAGCCATGCCTCAACTGATGGGCATCTTCTTTGTTTCCAATTCTTTGCTACAACAAACAACATACTATATACATTTCTGTATATATGGGCTCTTTCTCTCTTTCTTTGATGACTAGTAATGGCATGTCTGGGTCAAAGGGTATGCATATATATATTAAGTATAGATATCATTTAATTTTCTTTGGTGCTTTTAAACATAATGTTATTTCCTTGCTAGTCTCTTTTAATCATATATATCTTTAATGTTGCCTTGTCTGAGATCATGATTGCCACCTCTACTTTTAAAAATCTTCCTGAGTCACAATAAATTCTTCCCTAGTCCCTTGTTTTAACTGTGTGTGACTCTTTGTACTTCAAGCGTGTTTCTTGTAAATAATATACTGTTAGATTCTGCTATCTTATTCATCCTATTCCCTAACCGGAGATAGGTGTCAAAATCTTACTGGTTTCAGGCTTTAATTATCTGATCCCTTTCTGGTTTCCAACCCTCTTAGAATGTTCCCATGCAGAGTGCCTTCAGGTTTCAGGCCTATTGATTAGAGATTGGATTGGCTTCTTTCTTTTTTTAAATGGAAAGGGATTTTAAAAAAATGTTTAATTAATTTATTTTGAATTATCAACAATCACTTCCATAATCTTTTGAGTTTTAAAATTTTCTCCCCTCCCTCCCCACCTCCCTACCCAAGATGGCATGCAATCTGATATAGGCTATACATATATATTCCTATTGAACATATTTTCACATTAGTCATGTTATAGGTAAGAATTTGAACCAATAGGAGGGACCACCAGAAAGAGGAAACAAAACACAACAGAAGAAAAAAATAGCAAATAGTATGCTTCGATCTGCATTCAAACAATTGGATTGGCTTCTTATCCTTGTGGAAAGACCCTAGTAAGAGCACCCAAAGTTCTTCAGGCCCTTTAACTCTGTGATTTTCAGAATTTATATTTCGTGGTTGATTTTTTGATGTGTTATTCTTCTGTTATCTCTCAGTTTCATACCCAGTTGATTGATCCATTCCTATTCTCTTTTGTCAATGAAAGTATATAGAGATGCAGATTTTCTCTTAAGTATTATTTGGCACATTTCTTCATTGTTATCATTCATTAGCAAAATTATCATTTCTATAACAAATATATTTATATAAATATATAATAAATATATTCTTTGACGCATACTTTTTTTAGTATTGTTTTACTTAGTTTTTTTGTTTGAATTGTTGCTTCAAAGTTCCAAGGGGTTACATTTGCCTAGATACACAAATACTCTGTGAACCACAGGTTCAACAGAGGATGTGCAGAGCTGCCCTGCCTGCTTCCATTTGGCCTTATGTGCTAGTTCAGGGCTTGGGCTCATTAGGAATGACAAAAAAATTTCTTTATTTGCTACTAAGCAAAAAAAGTTGGTGACTTAGTGCCCCTTTAAAAAGTCACTTATTAAGTGCTTACTATGCTGGACATTATGCTAAGCACTGGGATACAAAGAAAGGCAAAAATAGCCCTTGCCCTTAAGAAGCTCCCATGCTAATGGGAGAACCAACATGCAACAAAATATGCACAGAGGAAGGTACTCACATTTGGGGTGGTGGGAGGTGAGTGGAGGTTGGAGAAGAGAACCAGAAAAACTTCTAGCAGAAGGTAGGATTTATGATTCCTCCCCTGGTTGCTTTCTTCAGCCCCCCCAGGTAACATTATGTAACTGGAAATTCCCATTATGAGTGAGGAAAGGCCAGCTCACCTTTCTCTCCATCTCAGTAACTATGCAACCATGAGCATATAGCAGCTAAAGCACATGCCTGGCTAGGCAAGCCTAAGACTGCATCTCAGAGCCCTTAGCTGTCTCTTCTTTTTTTGTGTTTCTTTCCTAAATATGAGTGACTGAATATCAGCCTCAAGATTGATATAAATATCCAGGGAAAGATGTATGAGTCTGGCTGTTTAGTTCCACACTAGACCTCTAGAATCATATAAATAATAAGACATAGCAAGTGGCAGTCAAAATTTTCTCCCACTGTTATAGGGAAACACCCAGAAAAGGTAGATTTATTCCACACTTTCCAACTCATGCCCCATTATTTGGCCACCTCCACATTCCTTTGTTAGACCAAGAAGCAACAGACCCAAGCCTACTTGGAAACCTAGGACTGAGAACTACCTTTGCTCAACTTTTGGCTACTTTATATGTCACAACACCTTCATGTACAAGTTACAGAGCACCATGATTTTCTTTGTTTTCCCAATGATGGAAGTCACATTAAAAATATTAATGAGTTTTTGCTTACACGTGATTGAGAAAAAAAATAAAAATTAAATGTAAAAAGATATTAATGAAGCTATTCAAATCCTTATCAGTAAAAGTTATTAAATTGTATTTGAAAGATGGTATAGATCTAAGCACTTCTAAATCATACTTACTGTTTAGGCCTTCTTTATTTACTATGGAGCTGCTTCCAAGAGCCTCATAGTACTGCTGGTTGCTCATCAGAGTATGCATGCCAAGAATAGCTATAGGGACAGAGAGGCAGAGAAAAAAGGAAAATAACTTGGTGATAGTTCTCTCAAATTGCAATAGCTTCAACTGACTGGGGCCAACTCACATACCAAGAAAATAATTTTTCATGTCAAAACTACATGAAGCTTCTATAAAATTTTGTTTACAGCTAGATGGTACAGTGAAGAGAGCCCTAGGCCTGGAGTCAGGAAGAACTGAGTTCAAATCACTCCTCAGACACTAATGTGTGTGACCCTGGGCAAGTCACTTAACTTCTGTCAGCCTCAGTTTCCTCATCTATAAAGTGGGGGTCATAACCGGTGCTATTATGACCTACCTCATTGGGTTGTTGTGAAAATCAAATGAGATAACAATTCTAAAGTGCTCAGTATATAGTAAATGCTTAATAAATGCTTATTCCCTTATTTGCTTCTTGAACTGATGGGGCCAAAATTTTTTTTTTTAATCAACTGGCAGGCAAGTTTCTGGTGATGAACCCCTCTGCACCTAGCTAAGCCAGTCCTTAGAGAATATAGGTACAGTCCTTTACCGGGTTTATCCTCAAAGCTTCTTCAGTTGGTAGCATGTGTCAGAGGCAGCTAGGTGGTGCAGTGGAAGGAGTACTGGGCCTGGAGTCTGAGATACTCTTCCCAAGTTCAAATCTGGCCTCAGATACTTACTACCTGTGTGACTCTGGGCAAGTCACTTAACCCTGTTTGCCTCAGTTTCCTCATCTGTAAAATGAGCTGGAGGAGGAAATGGCAAACCACTCCAGCATCTTTGCCAAGAAAACCCCAAACGGGGCCATGAAGAGTCAGACAACTGAAATGATTGAACAACAACAAAAGTAGGTGGAATGGCTTGCTGGCGTGACCTTTGAAGGTGCCATGATAAGACAATTGCCTAGGACTACAGCAGAGATGATGATACAAATGTCAGGAGGTAATAGAACCCAATGTAATAAGCATTGTGAGGATATCAAATCACTCCACTACTCAGAGAGAATTATATTTGGGAAAAAATAGCAAGTACTTATATTGATTAGCTCAATGGCCTTGTAAAAATAATTATGCAGTGGAAAGCACATTGGCGTGGGAATCAGGAGATCTACGTTCTATTCCTGGCTCCCTGTAAATTATCTTTGTGATCTTGGATAAGTCAACTAAACTCTTTCAGGCACAGTTTTGTTATCTATAAAATTGGGGATCGAGCAGGGGAAGGAAATGAACCAGAAGGTCCCTTCTGGCTCCTAACAAATAATAATAACTGTAACTGGGGTGTTATACCACAGAGAAATTTTCTTTGTCTATCATATACATTCCATGAAGCTGAGAATGAGGATAGCTGGCTTTTGTTTAAAACAGCAACAACAAAACTTCACCAAACTCCAAGAAATAGTCTCTGTGATTTTGCTTCATTTTTTGTAGATGACGGCCAGGATGAATTAGCCCTGCTGAACTGTGCCCACTTGATTTAAAACAAAACACCAAGTCTTCAACGAAAACTCAAAAAGAGCTATTTTTGAGCCCCGAAAAGGAACATCTTGTTCTCTTCTCTGTTTTTGTTTTGACTTAGCGTCCTCTGTTCCTAGCTCTGCTTAGAACTCGGGGAGATAAGACACAGCCCCATGTTTTGCAGCTGTCAATCCGGTGACTTGTGAATAATGGCTGCCAACCATGGAGAAGGGGAGGAACCCAATTCTACTTGTTGAACCCACCCCTCTCCCTGGCCAGTCTGTCTAAACTAGGTTCCTGTATTTAGTCTCATTTCTTAGTTGACTTTCACTTTAAAGAATGATAACAAGTGATATTTATAGAGTGCCTTATATTTGCCAAGCCCTTTACATACATAGCCTCATTTGGTACTCACAACAACCTTGTCAGCAAGTATGCTGTCATTTTTATCCCCATTTTACAGATGAGGAAACTGAGGTTTGCCTATGGTCACAAAAGCAGTAAATGTCAGAGAGACAGGATTAGAACCCAAGTCTCTCCTTACTCTAAATGAGATGTTCTTTCCATTACATATAGGTGCCAAGGCATTAGGAAGTTGGGACAGTGTAGATCTTTGGGGATGACATATGTGGATAATTAATATAATGTGCATTAGGGCAATTAGGTGGTGAAATGGATAGAGTGCCAGGCCTAGAGTCAGGAAGCTGTTATTTAGTTGTTTCAGTCCTGTCTGACTCTTCGCACCCCACTTTGGGGTTTTGTTTGCAGAGATACTAGAGTGGTTTGCCATTTCTTTCTCCAGTCCATTTTACAAATGAGGAAACTGAGGCAAACAGGGTTAAGTGACTTCTCCAGGATCACAGAGCTAGTAAGTGTCTGAGGCTAGATTTGAACTCAGCTCTTTCTAACTCTAGGCCTGGTGCTCTATCCACTACACCACCTAGCTGTCCTGGAGTCAGAAAGACCTGAGACGGCGGCCAAAGAGGCTGATGCAATATAGGCTGTGTCCAGAATTAGAGAGGTCACAGACTTGCTATACTCTGCCCTGGTCAAACCCCATCAGGAGTATTAGGTTCAGTTCTGGACATTATATTTTAGGAAGGACAGTGCTAAGCTAAAAGTATACAGAGAAGGACATAAGATGTTCATACCATTTGCTCACTGTTGAAAGAAACTGGGGATGTTTAGCTTGGAGAAGATGAGACTGTCAGGGGAGAACGGGATAGCTGTCTTCAAGTATTTGCAGAGAACAGATTTGTTAGGCTCGGCCCTGTCCAGAAGTGGAATGAGCTGTCTCAGGACGTTTCCCTTCACTGGAAGTTCTCAAGCAAAAGCTGATGACTATTTGTCAGAGATACTGTACATGGTATTCTTAGTCAAATGCAGGTTAGACCAGATGGCCTTTGAGATCCCTTCCACAGCTGAGATTCTGTGATTCTCACCTCTGTGCCTTTGCTTAAGCAATCCTCGCTTGCTCCCCAATTAACTCCTCCCATTTACCTACACAATGCTACCCATCCTTCAAAACTCTGCTCACATCTTCCTTTCTCAAGACTTCTCTACGTTGTTCTCCCCCGTCCTTCTCTCTCCTCCTAATGTGCTTATATTCAATACCACATGTTCAACCCTGAATTTTTCTGTAATCCTTTTTGTCTCCCTAATTAGATTGTAAGCCATAGGAAAGACAGAGACTAACCCAACACAGCCTCAGCCACAGATGACGTTTGGTAAATAGTTGTCGAATGACTGATTAATGATAATTCTTTGATTTTCCCCATGGGGACAACAAATGAAATATTAAACGAAGTAAACATGATGTCTGACAGCATTTAATGAGAGAGCACAAAAATTTTTTAAAACTTCAGATTTGTTTCTAAAGGGTAAAACCCTTTAATTATAGAAAGAATACACACACATGGAACTAAATTGAGAAAATAATTCTATAACAATGACAAGTAATTAAGCAGCATATTAGCGAGACGGATGCTTATTTTTATTAACAATTAAGTTGAAAACAAGTTGTAATATATAGTAAAAAATGTGCTAGTTCCAGGTTCCAAGATTAACTGGATACATACTGTGAGTTACATTTATGCACAAACAGAAGACACTAGAAAAGCCCCCAATTATTTAATAGCCTATACAAAAATGCCAAAGTCAAGGTAGTTAGTTTCAATTGGTATAGAATAACACTAAAATTAGCCACATCAACAAAAGTGAAGGTAAGCATCTTCAGGAAAGCAAGAGAGACTGTCAGTCTCTACTCAATTCCTGTTCTGGACTGTGAATCTGCAAAGTTCCTTTAATGGCAGAGTTATTTTATAATCCTTCTGAGCTGTCTGTTTGGTCGTTGTCCTTCATATTTGAAGAGGACCAAAATGACATCACTTTGTCGCAATGGATGTACAGTGTATCTTACTGTGACTGAATGGAACGATATGAGTTCAGAAGGCACTACCACAGAATGGGCACTAATGTGAAGGACAACGTCACAGAGGGTAAAAGGAATAGAACAACCACTGAGGAAAAAAATAGCTTTGGTTTAAGTTAATAGGCACACATTATGTCAATATATCATAAATTACTATTTTTTTTAAAAACAGGACCTTTGATTTCATCAGCTCCTGGTGAGGAACTTTCTTTACCAAGGTAGATTAGTAGCTTCTCTGAAATTTATATTCTCAGAAAGTTTTCTAGGATGGGTGAAGTGACTTGCCCACAGCCACTATTTGTCAGAAGTAGGTCTTGAACCAAGTTCTTCATCACTTTGGGACCACTCTTTATTCACTAGATTATATTGCCTCTGACAAATTGAAAAATTCTTCAGTGGGAGCTCTATGTATGACCCAACAGCATTTCTCTCATGTCCTAACAAAGTTCTCTATGTGAAATACCTGTGAGAGTCCTTTTTGTGATGGCTGTCATCCGGTTTGACCAATCTGTGGGCTAAAAGACTTTTTAATTTTTTATTTTTAAAATGGATTGTGTCAGTAATGATGAAAATCTCAAATAACATGAGTTTTTATATATATATATATATATACATATATATATACAAGTATACACAAAGTTATATATATATATAAGTATATATAATATATACGTATATATTACATATATGTACGAGTAGGTATTTTTTTAAAGCATTCGTTAAGAATGTTTTTGCTTACATTTACTGGCATGATAAATTTGATAAATAGTAACTAGTAGGCTAAAGTAAATTTGCTAGTATTACTATTAGTTCACAGTTACATAATATTTGACAGTTTTCAAAGCATTTTCCACACATTCTCTCTCTGAGATACGTATCATAAGTCCTATTATCCCCATTAAATTGAGGAGGAAACAGGTTCGATGAGTTCAAGCAACTTACTCAGAGTTACAGAGCTGAGCTGATGTATGCCAAAACTCAGATTTTAGCCCAGCTTATCTGATTCTAAGACCAATACTCTTTAAACAGATAAATTAATTTGGGGCCGGCAATGGGAGCTGAGGAGGAGAGCAGCAGTCATTTGTTTTTAAGAAACGGGTCTAAAAGAATGCTGACTTGTGCCTGTAGTGGGCATTAGCTTAAAACAAGCTAACTTTTGCCTGGGTTCTGTAAAAATGCTTCCTTAACTGCAAGAAAACTGGATTTCTCAACTTTGGTATTTGACTCACATTTTAAAATCAATTATCCCCACGACGCTACCTCCACAAAACTGATATTGATAGGGTTTAATTCATTCACAGAATTACAGGCTCTCGGACCTGGAAGGGACCTTTTATCACATGCTGTCATGGGAAGAAGTGAAAAATACCAAACAGACACCATCCAGGAAGGTGCTAGAAGAAAGTAAGTACTAAGGTAAAGAATTGTTTACCATCATTACTACACAGTTAGGTGGCATAGTATCACTATTGCTGAGGAAAGTAGATGGAATAGTTGATAGAGCATTAGATTTGGAGGTAGAAAGACCCGAGTTCAAATTCTACCTCAGTTTCATACTATCTCTGTGACCCTGGGTAAGTCACATCTTGTCTCAAAACCCAGTGTCTTCATCTTTAATGATAATGACAGTGTCTACTCTTCACAGGACTGTTGTGAGGATCAAATGAGTAATATTATGTAGAGTGCTTTGCAAACTAATAACTGTTATTATTATTATTCAACTATTGCATATGAAAAGTGAACTCTGATAAAAACTGAAAAACAGGACAGTATGAAATGATCAGGACATACTTGACCTGTTGTAGCTATAATTTTCTGGATCCCCATATAACTATGTGCTACCAGGTGGGGCCTAGGTTACAGGGAAGGTGAAGGGAGATGGGGGAGAGGAAAAGGTAGAATGGAAGGATGGGGTATGAATGAGAAGAAACACAGATGTGAAAAGAAAATAGAAAGCTTTGGAGAGAAGAGCTGTACCTGTGGCTAGGGTATAAATGTCATGTCACGTGATTTGTCATGTGTTCTCTAAGCTTGAGACAACTTTCCCCTGGATTCTGTATCTATCATGGGAGAGTGTACCCCAGTTTGGAGGAGGGGAAAAAGGGGAGGGTTTGTACCAACTGTTCTTACTCTACCACTTTAGTAAATGCCTCTTTCTAAAAGTTAATTGTCTGGATACCTAGTTGATATCAATGAATTATCAATTGGTAAAACACACCTGTGGGAGCTTATGAACTAATGTGTTAGAAGAACATCTGCCAACTCCTCCAGGTCCCCTAGAACCCAGAGGAAGTAGTAGCCTTTTTCTGGGGGGGACCCAACACGCCTATGTGAGTGAGAATCTGGACAGTAGCCCCACAGCACATACAACAAACACACACACAAAAAGAAAACAAATTTAAAAATCCAAAATCATCTGAAGGTGATTGTCATAAAGTATCTGGTGATATACTGGGAACCTAAAGGAGTTTAAATAAGTTTTTTCACTCAAAGTCAAAGAATATACCGAATTCTGATAGCATAGCTGAGGCAAAGAAAAAGGCAGTTACGACAGAAAATACCTAAGGTCTTTTCTGGATGCCTTCAGCTGCAGGTCTGAATCTAAAAAAACAAAAAACAAAAACTAAGATACCTTTTGAGGATGTAAGCTAGGTTAATAAATCCTCTCCTCTTTGGGGGAAGAAGGTCATATGACAGCTTCAATTCAGTGGGTAATACATTGATGGAAACATGGTAAAAAGACCAGAGGAACCTTTCCTCAACCCCTCTTAATTCTAGTATCTTCCCTCTGTTAATTACTTCCTATGTATACTGTATATAGTCTGCTTTGTATATATTGGTTGGCACATTGTCTCCCCCTTTAGATTGTCAGCTTCTAGATCCTCTCTAAGAGACCATCTTTTGCCTCTTTTTTCTCTCTCCAGTGCTTTGCACAGTGCCTGGCAGATAGTAGGAGTTTAATAAATGTTTACTGATTGATTGATCAATCCCAGGAGTGTGCAACAATGAGAAAGCAGCTCACAGCCTAATGACATCATCTGGCCAACAGATGATATTAGCGGGGGCTCGTGAATAGATTCTGACTCCAAATTTCCCTTGAAGCCGAGGCTAGCTTTGAAGAAATTCCACAATTAGGGAGGCTATGTTTGCAATTCAGTGCTTGCGTATTCAGTGTAATGGGTTGAATGAGTTGAGTTAGAATGAGAAAATTCATTTCAACTTCTGTTGTATCCCTAGACACTTCATGCAAATCATTGCCTAGTCAGTTAGGGTTTATTTTGTTGTTATTGTTGTTTTATTTTTGCCTTTTGGATTCATACCAAATTTATTTCATTTTAACCATCTCTCCCTCTCCCCAATCATTAAATCTTCATTATAACACAACAAAAAAATCAAAATCGGTCAACAAAATCCAACTAACAGTGTATAGCACATTTCATAGTCATATTCCTAACCTTTCTTAGTGTGGAAATGCATGTTTTCTTATCAGTTCTTAAGAACAGAGATTTATTGCAGTTCTTTAGAGTTTGACTGCTTTTTACTGCAATCATCAGGCTACATTTTGTATTCAGTGCGTATGATCTGTTGATGCATCCTTGAGAAGAGGGAAGTACATCATAACGTAATTAAAGCATGGGGATCTCATGTGGATATAAACAAAACCATTGAGGTAGTGGTGTTTCTTACCAGTTGGTTGAAGTGAGTGGGGCACTTATGATCCCACCAATAGTTAAAGTCAAGCACACTGGAGGAAAGACCAAAAATTTTTTAGACATTCTGCATTTGGGACATGCAATATGTGTGTGTGTATACATATGTGTATATATACACCTATATGTATATACGCAGACACATGTATGTATATATGTATACATACATATTACACATGCTATATACATACATACATACATACATACATACACACACACACACACACACATACACACACAGAGGGCGAGATAGCTAGGTGGTGAAGTGGATAGAGCACAGGGCCTGGAGTGAGGAAGACCTATCCTCCTGAGTTCAAATCCAGCCTCGGACACTTACTAGCTGTGTGACTCTGAGCAAGTCACTTAACCCTGTTTGCCTCAGTTTCTTCATCTGTAAAATGAGCTGGAGAGGGTGATGGCAAACCACTCAAGTATCTCTGCCAAGAAAACCCCAAATGGGGTCATGAAGAGACAGACACAACTGAATAACAACAAATATACACACACACATACACAGAGTTGACAAGGATTAAAAATTATTATGGATACCATGACATTAGGACTAAGACACAATAAGTAAGCTACCCTGAGACAAGCTTAGAAGTAGGAAATTTAGTGCTGGTCAAATAACTTTTAAGCACTTAATTACAGTCCCTTGTTGCATCTATTTTAAACATTCTTCCTTGGTAAACAGAATCCCTGGCCAAAAACAACAAAGATATATTTGTGACTTACAGTCTAAAAGAGAGATGGGAGGTTGAATCCCCAGTGTTTGAGGAAATTTTACTGGTAATGGTTTGGAATACAGGGAAGGACTCAGCTACAGTGGTCACATGGAACTTCAAGGTCAGAACTAGTCAGATTATCTGAATCCTAAAGTGAAGCAACATACTCAAGGCACAGATTGAATCCTGTGATATATTAGCCCTGGAAATGCAACAGGGTCTTATGGAATTCCTTCATAAACATTTTTTTAACAGGTAGATGAATTCACCAGTACACCTTCTTTGCATTTTATAATCTATCAGAGTTGTCTGAAGGCACAGAGTTTTAAGTGACTTAGCCAGTCATACAGCCAGCATATATCAGAGGCAACACTTTAACCCAGGATTTCCCCACTCTGACCTTGGCTCTCTATCTACTATATCTCGATGGCTTTGCACATGGTTATATAAAAGATTAATTCCCAATGTAAGGAATACTTAATGTTTATAAATTGGGCTTTGAGTCACGGTATTCGTTTTTTATAATTTTAAACTTACAGAATTGTTAAAATGGGGAATAATTCATTTCCTGCAAATTAAAACAGGAAACTTAGAACATTTCACAAACTAAAAGATAGAATGCATTCAATGGTGGTCCATGTCAACCAAGTGTCTAGAATTGCATTGTAAAATACTGAGACTCTATCAATAGGAGACAGTGTCATGTAGTGGAAGGCACGGTTGTTTTGTAATCAGAGTCCCCGAGTTTGCAGGCTGGCTCTGCTACCTACTATCTGTAGGTAGTACAAGTAGTAGGTTCTCCTGGCTCTGTTGTCATGTCAATTAGTCACGTCTGACTCTTCATGACCCCTTTTGGAGTTTTCTTGGCAGATACTGGATTGGTTTGCCATGTGCTTTTCCAGCTCATTTTTACAGATGAGTAAATTGAGGCAAACAGGGTTAAGTGACTTGCCCAGAGTCACAGAGCTAGTAAATATCTGGGACCTAATTTGAACTGAGGAAGAGGAAATCTTCCTGATACCAGGCCCAGCACTCCATCTAACATGCCATCTAGCTGTCCTCTAAGTGCTGGGGATAGAGACAAAAGACAGCCCCTGTCTTCAAGGAGTTTTCAATCTAATAATAACGTCTTTAAGATATTTGTGAAGCTAAAAGGGTCATTTCTGCCTAAACAGATTAATGCTGAGTAATTCTTTATGAAGATGAAACAAACAGTGGTTCTTTTTCTAAGTAGAACTTAATGAACAAAGTAAAACCTTGCCATGGTATGACTTCCACAGTAAAATTCAAACTTTCTAACTTCCAGAATATAATCTAGTTTAAATGAAAAGGAAAACTTTTTTTAAGCTTTTAGCAAACTAGTCAATTATAAGCAGGTGCAAGAATTTTAAAAAATGTTTCTGAGATGTCTCTTACCTGCGATGTCACACAGTTCTGCATCAGACGCATTGGCCAGAGCCTCCTCTAACTCTGGTTCTAGCGTTACACTTTCCAGAACAGGATCAATTGGCTTTTGCTTGGGGACCCACACTTTCCCTGTAAATGTAAGAAAAAAAGTGTCAGTTATAATCCAGCTCTCTAACCATCACTTTAAAATAACAAGGTGGCAAGGAGAGAACTCTAATTTACTTATTAGGGTTATTAATATGATTACAATGCATGCACCCTAAAGTTTCTAGAGAGAGAATAAGGAACCTTATCGTGTATTCACTCAGTGACTGGACAGACGGGACCTGGGTCTAGGTCCTGCACCTGTTTGCTAAGCAATCATCTCTAGGATTTAATTACTATAAAACATTTAAGGACATAGAAATACCTGCCATGGTGATGAGTCCATATTTCAGTTTTTACAGCCATCTATAAGGACATTAGCTATGGAGAAGTCAAATTGGCAGAAGAAAAGTGGTAAAGTTGACATAAAGAGGATAAATGACAAATATTGGAGGGGACCTGGAGAATCTGCACATTAATGCACTATTAATAGAGCTGTGACTTTTCCTAGTTATTTTGGAAAGCAATTTGGAACTATGTCCCAAAAGTTACTAAATTATGCATGACCTCTGACCCAGTGACACCACTACTAGACCTATACCCAAGGAAATCAAAGAAAGAGGAAAAGGACCAGTATGTACAAATTTATTTATGACAGCTCTTAGTGTAGCAGCAAAAAACTGTAAACTAAGGGGGAGCTCATAAATTAGAGAATAGTTGAACAAATTATGCTACATAAATGTAATGGAACACTATTGTGCTATAAAAAACTACGAATGATACAATTTCAGAAAAAACCTGGAAAGATTTGTATGAACTGATGCAAAGTAAAGTCAGGCAGAACCAGAAGAATAATTTCTATAAATATAACACAACACTTTAAAGACAACTTTGAAAAACTTAAGAACTCATCATTTGCAGAGGACTGATGATGAAGCATGCTATCTAGTCCCTGATAAAGAAGTGACACTCAGAGTACAGATTAAGACATATTTTTCAGACATGGTCAAATTGGATTTTTTTAACTTTTCTAGACATATTTGTTACAAAGGTTTTGTTTTTCCTCCTCCCACCCTCCCCTCTTGAGGGAAGGGAAATAGAAAGGAGAGGAAATCCATTTTTGTTCATTGTAATAAATAAGTAAATGAATGAAGAAATAAAGAATTTTTAAAAAAGAAGTGTCCACAAGATCCATCCCTAGTTTAATTTATGGGTGATATGGACATGCTCTGGGTTTTTGTGGACCACAGGAACCACTGTGGAATGTACCCACCTTCAAGAACCTCTGGGCCTAGAATATAGTGTTTATAGACAACATAGCCCATTCTCCCAAGTCATAAGGTCTGTATTAGCCAAGGGAAGTCTTAAGAAGCTTGAACAAGGATAGAATATATTGAAGGGGGTGGTATTTTGGGAGATAACAACTTTCATCATCATGTCTGTTACAAAGCTTTTGGGTCTAGCATCGGGACAAAATAAATCTGCCGCTTGGGTTTGCTAAAGCCAATTTCTGCTTCAGTTGCCTAGTGCAGTGGTCCGTAAAGTGAGGTCAGAGGCATGTCCCAGAGAGCATGTGATCAACCAAACTGAGAGTGACAACATGGGTAGCCCCTCACCCTCCCCAGAACAGTCATCATGGAGCTTGTCCCCCAACATTCCTCCTTCTGAGTCTGATACCATCTCTTCAGAGCAGTTATCACCTAGAAGATCCCCAGGCACCAGAGCAGTAATTATGAAGATGCCACTGGAAAATTATGCCTCTTCCTCCAAATACTCACTTCACCCTGCTAGATCCCCTTGTTCCTCTGTGTTCTAGGCAAGCAACCACTTAGAGTCCTGCCTCCCTGCTCTTTATTTTGGTTGAGACATAGTGAGTCACAGAGAATGAGTAAGCATGGATGAGCGCAGATTTCATTAAATTATCTTTCCCCCAAAAAACTCACCCTTTTCTAAACTTCCCTATTATTGCTGATGACACTACCATTTTTCCATTCACCAAAGTTCACAGTATTATCTTCAACTCCTTGCTGTCCTTAACTCCAAATATCCAATTAGCTGCGAAATCTTGTTTGTACTGCCACAACATCTCTTGCATCTGTCTCCTCTCTAAGCAAACAGCCTCTGTTCTAGTTCAAAGCCCTCATCACCTCTTATTGGATCACTGCAATAACCTTCCCAACACATGATCGAACACACTCTGTTTTGTAAACAAACAAAAATGTTTATAGGGACCATTGATTTAATGGAATGCCTTTGGGTACTTCAGCACATAAAATGGGCTGACTGACCTGAGGGGACTTCGGATTCAGGAACCCACTACCTCCACTTTGCATGAGTCCACCTACCAAGTCCCAGGAATTCCATTTCCTCCTGCTAAAGCTAACACAGGCAATGAACCTGGAGTTGAACAAAGTGAATTCTGTGGATGCTAAGAGTAAGGGACAACATCCAGACAGGCAAGACCTTTATAGTTCATCAGTTCCTAGGGGGAAGGAAAGAGTTCAAGAGGTACTGAAAAACTGCAGGAGCAATATATAACCTTAACGGCACTACTCAGTGTTTAAATTGACCCAAGAATATCCGGATGTCTGTCTTTCGTTCACTGTCTTCTAGATGTGAATGAAGTTTGTTTCTTTGAACAAAGTCCTTTGACTTTGACAGAGATCACTGTATGTCCCACTTGACCTAGGGGAATGGATTTAGGTGTAAGCAACACTAATCACGAAGTGCCCAGTGATGATTACAGATCCTTAATTCTCTCTTTTTCTTCTCCACTCCTCCCCACCTTCATCTCTTAAATAGGTTCAGTGATCCTGATGGTGATGTGGGTATCTGTGCATAAGAACTGAAGGACTGGTAATGTCAGATCTAGTCAGACACTATAACCATCTAGCTGGCATAGAGAGGCAAGGAACCAAACCAGATCTATAACATTATCATGTGATCTGTGTTTCTCCATGGGTTAGGGATTTTATATGTGCACTTCTGAATTCACAGAGTAATTATGGGAAGCAAATAAGAAATATTTTAGAACTATAAAATTCTATATAAAATCAAGATGATGAAGTTTATAATATGATTTATTTTTTATTGTCCTCTGGGTAGAGTCCTAACTTCCTTAATTGAAATTTTAAAGCCTTACATCTTTCCAACCTTATCTCTTCCCTAATTCCCAACACTAATCCTTCATTGTAGGAAGGCTAGTCTCCTCCTTGTCTTATAGCCACATTAAACTTGTGATTTTCCTCATGCTGTTCCATCTACCTGGAATGTCCCACCTCCCCTATCCACCTATCCACCATTTCAGATGGTCATCACCCACAAAATAGCCTCAGTGACTTTTCCTTCTCCTGAATCAAGAGTCAGCATGAGAATCGTCGTCCCCCAAAAACACAGGGCACAAAGTGAACACTAGTTCATGTAGTGTTCATTTAGCTCATAAAGTATTCCTGCCAATCCAGAAACAACAGCCAGAGCTGAGGCTGCCCTTCACTATCAGCGTCTCATGAGACAGAATGATGAAGGAAAGGCTATCAAATAGTGTGTCTCAAATTTTCCTTTACGTTCCCGAGCATAAGCATGCTGTCATGTAACAGACGATCACCAAGTTGCTGAAACTGAGCTAACTGCCCTGAGTTAGTAAGACAAATTATTTCATAACTGTTGGAAGCAATGAGTCTTTGCTTCCTCTAAATAATTTGAGAAGAAAATATCTTCTAGGCACTGTCAGACTGACAAAAACCAGTTCTCCCTTGCAATATAAATGAAGCTACAAAACAGTCCACACTCTTTCAGCAGTTTGTAATCTCACAACACTCTAGTTTTCTGGTTGTTGTCTTTTTTTTTTGTATGAATTATAGAACAAATCCAAAATAAATTCTAGCTTTATTTACTGTACACACAGAGGGACCCACACTTTGTTAGTACAATGGAGAATCAGTGGGACAGAAGTGGGAGGGCAGAGAGGAGCTGGGAACCTGTGCCAGTAAACTCTCCAGTATTTCTCCTTAATGGGTCTGTAATCAGCTCTCATATTTAAGCCACAGGGAACAATTGACATTGCTGATATTAGATCCTTTGATCTTGAGGCTGGCACCATAATTCTTCTGGGCTCTACAGCAAAGTGATTGTTTGGCAGCAAGACAAGCATTTGGGTAGAGCCTAACCCGGAAAGGCAGAGGGAGAGGGGCAGTCTGGGAATTCATGTAGTCATCGATTTAAAACAGGAGGGGACCATGCAGGACATCTGCTCCAATCCCTTTGTTTTATAGATAAGGAAACTGAGGTTAAGTAACTTGCCCAAGATTATCCATGTAGTAAATATCAAAGGTTGGATGTGAACCCTCCCCCGTTCCCCACTTCCATATCCAGAGCTTTTCTGACTAATTCTTTTCCTTTCTGTCTATTCCCTATCAGGAAACTTCTCCTCTGAAGAGGGCTCCTAGTGGGCCAGTACCATTTATTATCATTATGATTACTGTTGTTATTATTGCTGTTATCGCATTGGCTATATTTTATGTATCTGTGCCTCATGGTGGGGGAGGGGAGAAGTTGGAGACCCCTGACACAAATAACACCAACACCATCATCATCATCATCATCATCATCATCAACGTCACCATCACTGCCATTTATATGTACTTTAAAGTTTGCAAAATACTTCAAATGTGTTATTCAATTTGATCCTCCCAGCAATCTCGTGGGGCAAACACTACAGGTATTATCCCTCTAGAAGGTATTATTCCCTCTAAAAGAGAGAATTGAGACCAAAGGATTTTAAGTGACTTGTCCAGGGTACGCCAGCTAGTAAGTATTTGAAGTGAGATTCTGACTGATGTGAGTCTCCTTCATTCCATGTCCCACATATTATCCACTATACCATGCTTGGGTCCAACTACACACACCATTAATTCTTCTTGATTAGAATCATAGTAGCATAAGAACACTGACGTAAAGTACCAACAAACATGGTTAGTCAATTTTCTATTGCCTGTGATAGCACGAATAAACTCCAGTAGCAAACAATCCATACTGGGAATTTCCTTGCTGTCAAAGCAGTATCTGAGTCTTGGAGATGGCAAGGTCAAATCACAGCAGTCAGAGCTTTGGTATTTAATCTGTGGCAGGAGTCTGAGTCATATACTTTCCTCTGCTCCCTTTTCTATCTGCCCTCTAAGTGTTCTCTGATCGATTTCTTCTCATGAGGCAATAAGAATATGGAGAGGCAAACAAATTGTGTTTGACAAACTGAAAACAATTTTCAGTAGGAGGAGGAAGGGGTTAGGGCAGTAGTGACTGGCTTAGCTGCTACTGAATTCTCTGCTACTCTCTTTTTTCCCCTTTTCTGAGGACCCAAACAGGAGTTTCTTTTCTTCCACGTAGAACTGTGTTGAAGGTTAGTGTTTCTTCTTTTTCTTTACATTTCTACCACTTCCAGTGATATGAGTATAATGGAAAAAGCACTGAGTCTGGAATCAGGGATATGAATTCAAATGCCACCTCTGAGACCTACTGCCTGTGTGACCTTGGGTAAGTCATTTTTCTTGCTTGGGCTTCGGTTTCCTCCTCTCCAAAGTGAAGTTAGACTAGCTGGATTCTGAGGTCCTTTATAGATATATGATCTCACAATACCCTCTCCCTTTCTGTGACAATTTTAGCAAAACAAACTTGACATTCTGACAAATACCAGGTTGTTGTAAGCCCCAAATATTAGGGAACACTGTCAGGCATTGCCTGCTGTTCTTTCTGTATCATGACCAAAGTTACCTGACCAGTATAAGACTGAACAACAAAAGGCAAAAAACAGGGTCAGAGGAGAAACTGGGGTACTCCAGCAACAATAAGAACTCAGCAGAGAAATCATACTAAGAGGGACTTTTTGAGGTGATTAAAAAAAGAAAGCATGCCTGGAATGTGTGGTGCCCAAGGAAAGACTGCCATGGAAATAAGAGAGCACCAGAAAGATATATAACATGCAATGTGCAAATATTCCCAACCTGACCATCTATTTTAGCACACATATCATTTACTCAATACTAACATAAAATGTTTGCATTAAAAAAATACTTTTTGATTATTTGCTTTATAGATAATGGCTTGGCCTAGTAGACAGAAAGCTGTCCTTGAAGTAAGGATGACCCGGATTTAATTCCTGCCACATCCAAGGCAAGTCACAAACTTTCAATGCTCCAGGCAACCGTCTATGACCAGAAGCAAGAGATAAGTTACTGATTTGCCTTAGTGGAAGGAGTTTACATACCCAGAGAGCCTCATGAGGATGAAATCACTGCTAGCTCCACTCCCTTGCACCCTCTTTCTCCCCCCGAGACACACAACAAGTAGAAGGTAATTAGAAGACCGCTGCTCCTCTTAAGCCAACTTTAGTTTTCTAGTGAAGGCCCAACATCAATAGAGTCTGAGACACTACTAGAAACCCTATGAGATCCTTTCACCTATATCGGGATGATATATGGTAGCACCATTCGTTAAATGAAATGTAATGTCATATGCTCAAAAAGGGAGAGGCAATATGGCAAGAAGGATGATCCCACTGGATCCCTGTTCCACCACAAATTAACAATGTGACCTTGGGCAAGTCACAGCCTTTGTGAGCAATGGCCTTCTCAACTACAAAAGGGAAGAAGCAATATCTCTTACAACTTCCTCAAAGGTTTTCCGTGAAGATGAAATGAGAGAGTCTACATAAAATGAATCATCACCTGTCAAGGACTATAAGGAATGTGAGCTCTTATCAATAAATGTCTGATGAGGATGTGTACCAAGTAGGGCAAGTTCCCTTTTACAGTATTAAAGCCTGTACAACAAACCAATGTTGCCCCTTTGTCATAACATGTAGGGTTACATCAACGTGGCATGGGGTAGATCATACATCACTAGAACTAGAAAGGACCTCAAAGGTCATCCAGTCCAATCCCCTCATTTTACAGGTGACAAAAGTGAGATCCAGAGAACTTAAATGACTTGCCATAGGTCATACAATTAATATGTCAATGGTAGGGCTTGAACTCAGATTACTGGGTTCTCATTCTAGAGCCAGAGTTCTTTCACTGTATTGTACTACTTCAGGAAGACCCAGATTCAGATCCTGACTCTCATACTAGCTGTATGACCACAAACAAGTCACATATATAACCCCCTTTTAGTCTTAATTTCCTCATCTGTAAAATGGAGATAATAACACTAGTAGTATCTACACCACAGTGTTGCCGTGAGACCAAATGAGATATTGTATGAAAACTGCTTTGCGGTTTAAAGCTTCCTATAAATATTGGTTATCACCGGTATGTTGCTCTGTCAGGTAGCAACATATCCTATGCCTTTAGAACATCTTTTACAGCACAAAAATCATACCTCACAGCAAAATGTTGGAAAGAGATGATAAAACATAGGTCCTAGAATTATCTTATGAACTCAATTAGCAGGGCCATGGCCCACTTGGAGAAAGATTTGATGATACCTCTTTTTTCTCCTGTGTAGGGGACCAGATCTTCTCGATCCTTAAATTCTTTAGCTTGCTTTTCCAAGTGATCCAGAAGGTCATCTCTTTTAAATGGGCCTGTAGGTGGCTTTGTGGTCTGATCCTTCTGTCTCAGTCCTGCAGGCAATAGTGCATTCTAAATTGGAGAAAAACAGAGAGGGAGGGAGAGATAGAATGAGGGGAGGAATAAAGAGAAAGGGAGAAGAAATGGGAAAAAGAGAGAAGGAAAGGAAAAAAGGGAATGAAAAAGGGAAAAAGGGAAAGAAAAGAGAGAGGGAAAGGGAGAAAAGGAGGAAGGAGAGGAGCAGGGGAGAAGGGGAGAGGGAGAAAGATAGGGCAGAGAGGAGAGGAGAGAATGATTAACAGCTGAAAACTCATCCTAATATAGATGATTTCATCAATTTAAACCAGAATTTTTTAAAAAATACATCTGATGCAAGAGTTAGTTGGTGCTGTCAAGCAGTCAACAATATTCACTGATTGCTCAATGCACTGAGTACTGTACTATGAGCTATTGAGGGAAAAGGAGTGATGAGGAACTTCAAGTGAAATTGCAGAAATGACCCTTGCCCTAAAGAAATATAAATGTTTAAATCTATTCACAATTCAACATATCAGCAAGTGCAAATTAATATAGTACATACTGGGAAGATGAATTATGAATTAGGTTTTGAAGAATGTGTAGGATAGACTGTTGGGGAGACAAAGGTGGAAGAAAATGGACAAAAGCATGATAAGGTATAAGTCTTAGGGGACAACCAGCAGATTATTTTGATCAAAGTATAAGAGATTAAAAGGAAATGAAAATGGTATTAAAGTGAATGCCAGGGCAGGGTGGTAGTTGGAGAGCTTTGAAGACAAAATGAGGGGCTGGGATTTTATACGATGTCAAGCACACTCCTAGACAAAGACTAGATGCTAACCAATTGATTAAATTGGTACTTTAGGGATGATTATCTCAGCAGCTGTGTGTTGCATGGAGGGATACCAAAATAAACTGGAGTCATGGAGACCACTAATTTCAGTAATCCACCTACAAGGTAAGGAAGGCCTGGATCATGGTGGTGGAAAATGGGAAAGAGCAGCTCAGGGAAACATATCCTAGTAATCAGTAGAACTCAGAGATGATGAAAGAAATATGCAGTTAATCGATATTTTTATTTTCAGGTCTATACTTCAAAGATGCGAATGACTGAAGATGTTTGGCTAAGAAAAAAAAAGACTTATTTATGGGAGTAATCATTTTAAGCAAAATAGAATCAATACTCATTGACAGATAGCTACAGACTAACAAATGATAAAAATCTTATGAGGGATTTATTTCCTATGCCATAGAACTTTATGATCTGTAAATGGATTTAAACTACAGGTTAAAGAAAATAAAAAGTCTTGGAGTTGGAGAGATTTCTGAGGGGAATAACAAGCGGAGAGGAAAATCAAGCTCAAAATGACTTTGGACGAGTGCCAAGAAATTCCCTAAGCACAAGATAAGTTAACTTACATTCAGGTCTCAGTAAGAGCATGTGATGAGACACAGTTGCTATTGTTACCCAAACGGCTATTTTTAAGTTTCCTTTTATTGTTATGTGAGCTGTTGAAAATCCAAAGTTGGAATTGCAGAGCAACAGATAAAAACTTTCATTGGTGGAAGGGGGAGGAAGAGAAACCCCTGATCAATCTGAAGAATACTCCCACTCAATGTAAAATTACAGCGCAGTGATCTTTGTGGTAATAGGGTCCTAGCCTCTCCCTGGGGTACAAAAGGTGCTCCTTTAATTGGTTCCCATTGACTTGGGCTGCTTCCAAGACTGGTGACTCAGAGTTAAAGAGGGGAAGAGTTACAAGACATACCCCATCCACTGTGATTTACAAAAACAAGATGTGAAATGGCTTAGTTCTCTCTGTAATAAGAGAGGGGAGCTCCTCTCCCTTCCAGCTTTATTCCCCACTCCACCCTCTAACAGAAAATAACTACTTGCATGAGAAGCCCATGGTGATCAGTATGCACCTGTCCAGGTAGCCTAAGATTCCTAGACTTCAGATTCCTGGCTGCTGAAATCTGTCTCCTTTTCTCTATTCAGGAGTTCCCGAGAATGATCTTTCATTGCCTTGAGGGCAAGTAAAGAACAAGGATTGGCTGACGTTATCTGTCCCTCTGGCCTCAGCCTAGTGGCTACTGAGTTAAAGTTGAACGCAGTAAGTGGAGACAGACTGATGATGGTTGGTGGCGGCAGTCACATGACGGCCACCCGAAAATCCTTTGGCAGGCCCATATGTTGTGCAGGCCTGGTTTAGTGGCTTGCTGTTGATTTGGAAGGGAGTCTCTAGCAGAGAGACTCCACATCCAGAAGGCTATGACCAAAATGAAGAAGAGCCTTCGGATCATGCCATATGAAGACTGGCTGAAGAGGTTATTGATACTGAGATATCGAGACTAAAAAACAGAACACTTGGGAGAAGCCACGATGGTTGTCTTAAGGTATCTGAAGGCCTGTCATGAGAAAGGGGGTTAGATTTGTTTTGTTTAGAAATTTGATACAAGAAAAAACTTCTAACACCCAGAATGATCCCAAAGTAGAGGGAGTAGTAGGTTCCCCTTAGAGAGGGCATTGCTCTTCAGGAATGTGTTTGACTTTAGGGTATCTAAGGTCATCTGATAGATGATAGGGATCATGGATTTGGAGCTTGTCTGTTCCTCAGAGGTCATCAAGTCCAGGGTCAGTGAACTATGGCCCATGGGCCAATCTGGCCTGCTGCCTGTTTTTCTTTTTTTGTATGACCCTGTGATCTAAGAATGGTTTTTATATTCTTTAAATAAAGTTTTATTGCATTTAAAGATGTAAGAATCATTCTTAGGTCAAGGTCTGTACAAAAACAGGTAGCAAGCCAGATTCAGCCCACAGGCCATAGTTTGCCCACCCCTGATCTAGTCTAATCTCCTCAAATTTGTTTTATTTTTATAGATTTTTTTTATATTTTATATTTTTTATAGATGCCCAGAGAAGTTAAATGATCTGCCCAAGGTCATATAAAGATTTTGAAAACTATAAATATTAAGAGATGATAGATAAATATGTACAGATAATTGATTTAATATAATCACCAAGGTCATATAATGATAGGGACAAAAAGGTTTCATATTATAGTATCATATACTACAATTAATCAATTACACTTAAATTGAATGTAATGTTAAAAATGTTGCCTTGAATTGCTAACTATTAGAATGCATGACTAGCTCCTAGCCAATCACATAATTGAGAAAAATATCCCCTACATCCATTTTCTCTTGATTCCTGGTAGTAACTATATACAGTACACATATGACATGTCTTTAAAACTCACTAATTTGTACCAGGGGGTTGGGGGGAGGCCAGCTGATACAGAGAAACGTTTCAAACATGCAGTAAAACACTGAGAAAGAAATGCAACTTTTGCTTTTCTGGTAATTAAGTAAAGAGAGAGGCTAACAAAGACATTTAAGGAATCTCCTTTCATAAATGAATTTGTAATTAGCATATGCATAATTTATCAAGAAATATATTCTTGTGAAGTGCTTTAAAGGTACTTACAAACAGTAACGTCCTCCCGCCTATCCTCAAAACCATAGAATTTAAAGCTGGTGAGGACCATAGAAATGAGACTCTAACCTAACTCTCTCATTTTACAGAGGAAGAAACTCGGTTCCAAAGTGACTTGTGGAAGGTAAGCAAGTGCAAAATAGAAGAGCCGAGAATTCAATCCAAGTCCTCTGACACCGTCTACTGATCTGATCCTTTCCATCTGGTTAGCCAGTGTTCTTTTCATAGGCTGCTAGGTGGTGCAATGGATAGGGTGCTGGGCCTAGAGTCAGAAAGACTCATCTTTGTGAATTCAAATCTGACCTCAGACACTTACTTGCTGTGTGACCCTCAGCAAGAATCTTCACCTGTTTGCCTCAGTTTTCTCATCTGTAAAATGATCTGGAGAAGGAAATGGCAAATCACTCCAGTATTTTTGCCAAGAAAACCCTAAATAGAGTCAGACACCACAGGACAACAAGAAGTATTTTTCACAAATCCTGAAAACGGAGACTCTAACCCAGCCTCTGCTCAAATTTCCACAAAATTTTCATGAGCAGAGTCTTAATTAACAAAGTCATATTTACAACACAGTCGTAAAGTGAACATTACAGAAATTATTTCATATCCATGAGTCTTTTGGGACAAAGCTTGCTATTGGTTATGGCATGTTTGACAATTTTTTGCAAAAAGCATTTTTTTTATAGTGCCATGAGGTTCTCTACCACACAATTTTAAGCTTAAGTGAGGAAACCTCAGTATGTCTTTCCCCGAGTTCTAACCCCCTTGGATTTTCCCACCATTCCTTGGGGAAACAGGAAGTACTTTGGTGCCTAATCTTGACTCAGACCCCTAAAGGGCCACACAAGCTCATGTACTATTTCAAATATGCCTCAGTGCACCTATTTACCCTGAGAAGCCTGTTTGAGGTTTTTCCATGGAAATGCCAGCCTCTTCCCACCTCTCTACTCTCCTTTCACCAAGCAGTCAGGAAATACAAAAGAGAAACTGGGATCCGGGGGTCTGCTCAATGAATAGGTGCAGATCAAAGTGGGCAAAACCAGGAAAACACTCTGTACAATGATAAAATTTTACAGAAAAATAATTCTGAAAGACTTTGGAACTCTGATTATTACAATGATAAATCATAAGTCCAAAAGAATGAAGATGAAACATGTCATTCAATTTCTGACAGAGAGATGATGAACCTGAAATAATTCTAAACGCAGAAAAAGACATTTCTTGGACATCACTAATGAGGGAATTTGTTTTGCCAGGATATACAGATATGTACTAAAGGACTTGATTTTTTTTAAATTTACTCAATAAGGAAGGAAGGGTAGTGGGAAGAACAGATTACTTTTTAAAAAATTATTACTTGAAAGATAAAAATAGTGAACTAAAAAGATAACTCCATGGTCTGATGCCCACATTGACAATAGCATGGAGCTTGGTGGACCCACTCCTGACTACTGACACAGGGTGTCTGTGCAGTTGCTGCAGGTGCTTCTTGGCTTCTTCCAGATTAGAGAGAGAAAGTGGATGATGTTCATCCCACTTCAGGTTGCTGAAGGGAGAGTAAGAATCTGGGAAGAAGCTGACATGAGTTGACGGTCTCCATCATGTCCCTATCCCCAGCTTGCTACACTAGAGACTTCAGGGTATTTCCCCTTGGATGAGATCTGGGACACTCTCTTGGTTGCATAGAATCACCTCATTTCTGATGGGAAAGCACCTTCATTTTATGTTTTGGTATATATTCTTCCATGTGTAGTCTCTCTGATTTCCTTTTTGCTACTGACTTGGACAAATGAGTTTCTTTGCTACTTACTATATGTGTTCATTGTTGAAATGGTATTTGGTGGGGAAAGGGTCAATCTTTGGACATAAAGACTAGATCTTCCTTTCCCAATTAATGAGTAAGAGACCAGAAGTTTTGCTTGAACCTGAAAAATCACATCTCCTGACTAACAATATTTAGTGGAATGGATAGATATAATTCTCTCCCAACTCTTCTCCCAGGGAGACTTTAATTCCTGCTTCTCCTCCTGTCAGGAATTAAAGTCTCCCTGGGAGAAGGGTTGGGGGAGAAGAGGGCAGAGATATCTATTCTGCCTCTCTTCAAGCCACACAACAACCCCATGCTACATGTGAGGGACAGCTTTGTTCTACTTTAATCTGAGTGCTGATAGCAGAATATCCTAGCCTGGGCTTCTTCACTTTTTTGTGTCATGGACCCCTTGGGTAGTCTGGTGAAGCCTATGGACTCCTTCTTAGAAAAATATTTTTAAACTCATAAACTACATAAGATTACATAGGACAACTTTGATATTGAAATAAAATTATTAATTAAAAAAAACAAATTTACAGACCCCAAATTTAAGAACTCCTTCATTAGATATGTGCATTTGTATGCATTTTATCTATGCCATCCCTGGGACCTTGGGATCTAAACAACCTTAGGGACCTATGTCTGCACCCCACCCAGATAGTTACAACAGCACTTTAACGTTGTCAAAGCACTTTACATACATGATTTCTTAGAATAATAATAATAATAATAATAGCTAACATTTACATAACACTTACTAAGTGCCAAACACTATGTTAAGTACTTTAGAATTATTATTTCATTTGATCCTCACAACACCCATGAGAGGTCGGTGCTTTTGTTATCCCCATTTTACAGAGGTCCAAGGTCACACAGCTAGTAAGTATATGAGACCGAATTTGAACTCAGGTCATTGGAAATGGCAAATTACTCTAGTATCTTTGCCAAGAAAACCCCAAAATGGGGTCATGAAGAGTCAGGCACAACTGAAACGACTGTGACTGAACAACTTTCTGACTTGCTACCATCTCATGATCTTACCATCCTCACTCCCTAAGGTTTGTCCTGGAGGCAATATTATCCCCAGTTTACAGATGGAGAGACTAAGACTGAGAGAGGGTAAAAGGTGTTCCCATAACTGTACAATTAGTAAGTTTTAGAGGCCCCTAATACTCTCTGTGGACTCTAAATCCAGCAATAGTTCATACACCAGAAATCTTTCCGGCTATCAGGTGCTATATACAGCCATATCTGTTTTTTATTTCCTTTAAAGGAGAAGAGGTAGAAATAAGTGCTATTACCTGGGAAAGGGAATCCTCTATGGTGAGTCTCTTCAGACATAGGATCTATGAAAATGTATGTTTGTTTTAGATACAGAAGAAGAAGAAAAAAAGGATGGGAAATCGTCTCTTGACCACTGCAAGAGGAACTATGAATCCTTTATGACCTTTGAATGGGACCAGAAGAAACAGACATAAAAATGTAGGGCTTCTTCTCCCCAGAGACACATGGTGAGTCAGTAATTATCTTCAGCAGAGTATTTCTGCCAAAACATCTTAGAGCAGCCTCAGCAGCTGCCCAGATCCCACATGCAAATTTTCATGAGAGCAACAAGGCAACGATTAGGAAAGGACAGGGAATCAATCAGGAGACCTGGGATTAGTCTTAGCTTGCCACTAACCAAGTGACACTGGACAAGTCAATTAATCTCTTTGTTCTCGGTCTCAACGTCTGTCAAGTGAAATAGACTTAGATGATCTCCATGGTCCCTTCCAGCTCTTTAGTTAAAAGAAACAGTCTAATGCTGCCTTGGAAATCAACAATAGAAATCGACAGCATTTTTTCCTGAACCTTCCACTTATTACTTAAAATGGAATTTTTACAAAATTAAGTAAAACTAAAGCTAGGACTTTTATTTTAAAACGTCAACATATTAGTCTAATTTTTACACCAATGTTATAAAGCCCTGTTGTCTTAAATAAAGTGAAAAATCGATAAATTTTTAAATATACTATTAAGAGTATTGCTAATAAGGAGACATTATAATAAAATCTCTAACAATTGTACAATTATTATCACTATTCATAAGGTAACATGAAACTCTACCCAAGCATGTATCAAGACATATTTTTGTCTTAAAATTATATCTATCTATCTATCTATCTATCTATATCTATCTATCTATCTATATATACATTTACATATGCATGATTTGGGTATATATTTAAAATATTTAGGGATCCACTAGAATTCTCTGATACTAGGTATTGTGTCATAAACAAGGATCTCAATCTTTGATGCTTTTCAGTGTCATATATCAAACACTGTGATCAGATTTCCAAATTTTCATTTATTTAAGGAAAAAAAGGTCCTCAATATCTACCTAACTGAACAGTCTTAGAGATGATATAGTAGAAAAAGCTTCAAGTGAACTGAAAGTAGGGAAACTCCTGTTTGAGAACTGGTCCTAGCACTTAATAGTTGCATGACGTTGAGCAAGTCCCTCTAACACGATAAGCCTCTGTTTCCTTATTTATAAAAATGGGGATAATAATATTTATATGATACCACACAAGACTGTTGAATAAATATGCTTTGTAAACCTTAAAAAAAAGTCAATGTAAGATATTATTATTATCACTATTATTGTTGACTTTTAAAAATAATTTTACAAATTTGCTATTTTTTTTTCTACCCCAAAGGAAAGCCTAGTTTTTTCTACTTATGGAATTCATCTAAAGTAGGAGCATATGGGGGCTGCTAGGTGGCACAATAGATAGAGCACTGGGCCTGGAGTCAGTAAGACCTGAGTCCAAATTTGACCTCAGACACTTACTAGCTATGTGACCCTAGGCAAGTCACTTCACCATGTTTGCCTCATTTTCCTCATCTGTAAAATGAGCTGGAGAAGGAAATGGCAAACCACTTCAGTGTCTTTGCCAAGAAAACTCTAAATGGGGGCACAAAGAGTCAGACAGGACTGAAACAACTGAACAACAACAGGAGCACATTAGTAATAACAGTCAGTCTCTGACCTTGTCTATCTCTTTAATATGCAGGCCGGTTGCAAAGTAAGTGTGTTATCCTCCTTGCATTCTAGCTGCTGAGTGAGGGGACAAAGCCAGAATGAAGACCTTAGAAAAAGGGCCTTGGAACCATGTGATTTAGCAAGGGCTGACACATAGTAAAGTGTTTAATAAATACTTCGGTGACTTGATTTGTTGATTGGACTCGAGAAACAGCTACCATTAAAGTTGAGCAGGATTTCTCCATTTCTACTGGACCTTATTCCTTCATGCAGCAGTCCGCCCCTGGTGGGCACAGACTTGGATAAAATGTGGGAGAAATGCAAATTTGCCCCCAGTTATAAGGAGATGCCAGAAATCAAGGAAAAGAGTAAGACGAGCTCTCAGGAAATGTGAACCATGGCAAGAAGAGTTACAGCAAAAGGACGCAAGAATATTTCCTCTTCCCTCTGCTTTCCTTACAGTCATATCACTTTTTACTGTGACTTTTTATTTCTGAGCCCAAAGTGCTTTGGTCTGGAAGATAGCAAAAGAGTCATAGATACAAAGCTAGAGATTAGGAGTGGGGCCATTGCTTTCTTTGGATGGCTCTTTCCTAATTTGCCCCTCCCCTCTCTCCCATCTTTCCAGTCTTCTCATACCTTAATCCCACAACATACTCTGCAATTCAGTAACACTGATGTCCTTGCTGTTCCTGGAGTAAGACACCCTCTCTCCTGATTGATTCCAGGCATTTTCATTAGCTGTACCCTGTGCTTAGAATATTCTCCATCTTCATCTCTGCCTTCAATGAATAACTTCCTTCAAGATCCAACTAAAATCTCACCTCTACAGGAAACCATTCTCAACCTCCCTTAATTCCAGTGCCTTGCTCCTATTGATTATTTGCAATTTACCCTGCATATAGCTGGTTTATACATAACCATTTGCATGTTATCTCCCCCATTAGGCTGTGAGCTCCTTGAGAGCAAGGGCTGTCTTTTGCCTTTTTATTATTACTATTTTTTTGGAGAGAGCTATCCCCAATCACAGTGCCTGGTGCATAGTAGATGCTTAAGAAATATTTATTAACAGACTTAGTTCTTCTCAGCAATACAATGATCCAAACCACCTCCAAAATTCACATGATGGAAAATATTAACCATGTCCAGAGAAAGAAATACTGAGTCTGAATGCAGATTGAAGCACACTATTTTCACTTGTTTTTTGTTTTTTTCCTTTTGTTCTGATTCTTCTTTCACAACATGACTAAGGTAGAAGTAAGTATGTTTACCATGACTGTATGTGTATAATCTGTATCAGATTGCTTGCTATCTTGGGGAGGGGAAAAGAAGGTGGGGGAGAAAAATTTGAACTAAAAATTTTATAAAGATGAATATTGAAAACTATGTTTCCATGTAATTGGGGAAAATACTATTAAGGGGAAAAAAAGAAATATTTATTGACTGACTGGCTGTCTCTGTCTCTGTCTAGATCTCAGGGATCAGTCAACAAGCAATTATTGAGTGACTACTACTACTACTGCTACTACCGCTACTGTTGCTACTACTACTAGTACTACATGCTAAAGCACTGTTTTTGGCCCTGGGGTTACCAATACAAAGAATGAAAACAAACCCTTTTTTCATAGAGGTTAGGAACCTTCACAGCACAGACTCTTTATATTTTACAGTTATTTATTTCTACAGCTTTCTGCAACCAAGGCTTTTGGTGCTAACCCTTTCCAAGGTACTACAACTGTGAAAAAGTATAACCCTCTTAAAATCTCCATTTTTTATTGCATGTTCCTTTTGAAATGGATAGGATTAGGTTAGTCAATGGATTAGGATTTCCTTAAGATCAAATACCTCCTATTCCATGCTGCCCCACCTTATTCCTCAATCTGACAGATTGGCTTATTTGTTTTTGAACTAAAATTTCCCCGAAGTAATCTATATATATTTCAGTCCTTTGTGCTAAATAAACACCCCTGTTTTAAAGGGTAAATTTCAGTGTGATTTATTGGGTGTCACTTGCCATGATGAACTATTACAAATTATACAAGATCTAACCAATGATTATCTGAATATTTATGTCAACATGTAGATTATGGTACTTCATCATCTACCAGCCCCCAATCAAAATTTCAGGTAATCCAAAAAACAATGCGAAAGTGCATGGTGGATATAAGTTATTATTCTTAATAATAATAACTTTTATATAGCACTTACTATGTGCCAGGCACAGTATTATGTGCTTTACAGCTTTCCCATTTGGTTGTCATTAACAGCTCTGGGAGATAGGTGCTATTATTATTCTCACTTTATAAATGGGGAAACTGAGGCAAATGAGGTTAAGTGACATGCCCAGGGTCATACATACTACCAAAACACACTAGAGTTCAAGAACCTGACATTCCTCCTGATGTCTGTATTTTTTGTTGTTGACACACCAACATTCTCAGAGGTTCAAAAATCTTAAAAATAATCCTTCAGTCTTTCCTCTCCTTTACCTATCCATCCAATCCAAGTCATATCAATTCTACCTTGGCAATATTTCAAATGCCTTCAGTAGAATGTAAGCTCTTTCAGGGAAAGGACTAATTTAATCTTTGTATCCCCAGCGCGTAGTATAGTGTTGGGCTGTAAGTAGATTCTTTACAAGTACTTGTTCAACAGAATTAAATCAAACTGAAATAAAGATCTCAATCAATTCTGCAAATATTTACATTCAATAAATGAAGAGTCGACTACTACTAGGGGCATACAACATGTTCAAAGAGAAGATAAACACTAACTCCTCTATTTGTCATTTAAAACCCTGCAGGTCCCAGGCCAAGCCTCACTTGGTCGTTGTTTGGGCCCTGATTGGTTCAGAGTGAATATAAATAGCAATTGTTTCTGTTTTGGCCAGAAATCCTGAGGGTCTTCCCCTCCCAGATTGATTTTTTTTTTTTGACTAGGCAAAAAAGGCCATTCTCTGCCTCATTTCTTACCTAGCTTTAATCACTGATTGGGCATTGCTTCAGTCAAACCTGTTAAAGACATTCGCTTAAAAAGGCCAAGGTCTCACACGGCAAAGGGGCCGCCTCCAGTCATCCTGATCTGTATCTGGCCACTGAACCCAGATGGCTCTGGAGGAGAAAGTGGGGTTGCTGACTTTGCACAGCCCTCCCTCACTTGAATCCAATTCACTTGCACGTCATGGTATCACCTCCTTCGTGTCTTGGTCCTCTTCGAGAACAAAGGACAAGAAACAACAATTTAACCCTCTCTAGTCTTATTTTATAGTATTTTCCCTTACAGATAATCTACTTGGAACTTGCTCTACATGACAGTTCACCTCCTGTTTAAGTACCTTGACAGGTATGGCCCCCCAAACCTTCAGTGACTTCCCCCACCCCTATCTCTACCTCTTAGCTTTCTTCAAAACTCAGCTTGGGAATTCTCTCCCACACAAAGGATTTCTTAATCTCTGAAATAGTGAGTACCTTTCCCTCTGGTTTTGTTGGTCTGAGACCTGTAATACTCATTTGTGGCAGGCTTTTTCTGTCTTAAACATGTCCTCCTCCTTCTGCCTAACATTTATAGCCTAAGTTGATTTTTCCCTTTCCTTCCATATTTCTTCAAGTGCTTGCTTACTGAGGCAGTTTCTAGGTCTTTTGAGATTCTTCTTTGTGGCAATTGCTTTATATTGGTTAAACATCCACAGGAAATCATGATATTCCATGTCAGTCTGTTTTCTTATGCATGTCTCATTTCTTTTTTGGTATAAATAGTATATTTGACTAGGCCCAATTGAAGCCATTTCAATTGCATTCCCTGACTTCTCATTTTTATTCCTTTAATTTGGTGCCAATTTTGATTTTTGCTCTAAAAGTTCGAATACCTTTAGTGATAGGGAACTTGCTACCTCTCAAAGTACCTCAATACATTCAGGGAATCACTTTAATTGCTGCAAAGTTCTTCCTTATGTTGATTCAAGTCTTCTTTCTATACTTCTTACCCATGAGTCCTTGCTTTCCCTTCTGAATCCATGCAGCTTAATCCACGTATCAGTTCTCCAAATATTTGAAGATTGCTATCGTGTTTCTCCCAAGTGTTTTCTTTTCCAGGCTAAAGAGCCAAAATTCATTCAATAGTCCAATTCAATTAAACTCAATTCATAAAATATTTAATAAGTTATTTCTGTGTCCAGAACAATGTGTTAGGGACTTTCAACTAGTTTCAAATCTAGCTCACTAGCATACAGTCCATATGTGGCCATCTTGCCCACAAAAAAACCACGAGTTGGTCAAATGCCTTGCTTAAGTTCAGCTGTACTATGCCTACAGCATTCCCACAATATAGCAATCTTGTGATCCTGTCAAAAAAGGGAAATGAGGTTGGTCTGACGTGACTTGTTCTTAGTAAGTCCATCTTGCATGTATTAAACTGTCCACATATTCTTCATTGTCCATTTTACAGTTTCCCCAGGAATCCACATTAAGTTCACTACTTTGTAGTTTGCAGTATCCAATTTCTTAGGACAATATTTGCCTATTCTACATTTGTCTGGCACCTTTCATTAGGAACGAATGAATGAAAAGGCATTTATTAAGTGCTTACTGTGTGTCAAGCACAGTGCTAAGTCCCGGGAATGCAAATAGAAAAACAAAACAGTTCTTTCCTTCATAGAGCTTACTTCTAATAAAGAGACAAAAGTTAGCAATAGACAAGGAATTGTACTTCATACTAGGAAGTCATTAGCATGATGAATGGAGCTATAGGAGAGTCAATTAATGGGTCCTCTCCAGAAGCTATGATAGTATTGATTTAATTACTATTTCCAGCGCAACAGGCGGTTGGGTTGGGAGAGACATAGCAGCAGAGCAGATGACAAGAAGATTGCCAGGATGAAGGATGGTCAGGTCTGCGGTGGCTAGTGGGCTCTTACCCATCTTGGCCCCAGATTGAGGGTTTCAAAACTGAATGACCTAAATGGTCTGAAAGGCCTAGCTCCTAAGGGCGTGCTATATACAGATCCAGTCCAGAGAGTACAAGCAGACAATCACTGCAGAAAAATATGAGGTTGCCCAGAAATAGTTAACTCACTTGTCATTTAAGAGGTGATAACTAGGCTTCAGAGTTTATGCCCTATAAAATTGCTTGGTAGAAGTTGATTGATATTTAATTTTGCTCCTGATAGCAGTGTGATCAGATTACATTATGTAAATTACAATATCTTTCTTCTCAGGGAAATCTAAAAGAATAAAACATGGTGAGAGAGTAGCTGGTTTTGTAGAGTTGATTTCTGCTGTACCGTTTTTATAATTCCTTCATTCCTTTTATACTCAAACTGTTGAAATGACTAGAGGTTTGAGTGAGAGTGGACTTTTTCTAGGTTCTAAGAATAAGGTTTTCCACATTTTATATAAGAAAGTGCTACTGAATAAAGTCAGTGAACAAATACACTGACCTCCAGATAGGGAATTTATTGATAAAAATGAGCAGCTGATGCCCAGATACAGAATGAAGATAAATAGCAAATTAACGGTATTACACTTTTGAAATTTCTTCCTTTCTTTCCTTTTTTCTTTCTCTCTTTTTCTTCCTTCTCTTTCTTTCTTTCTTCCTTTCCTTCTCTTTCTTTTTTCCTTCCTTCCTTCCTTCCTTCCTTCCTTCCTTCCTTCCTTCCTTCCTTCCTTCCTTCCTTCCTTCCTTCCTTCCTTCTTTCCTTCCTTCCTTCCTTCCTTCCTTCTTTTCTTCCTTTTTCTTGATCTCTCCTAGTCTGCAAATGCAGCAGCCCCTTAAAGGCCCAATGCTACTGCTGATTGGCACAGGCGGTTTACTGTCCTCCATTTCTGATCCAGACTACTTCATTCCTCCTTAGTCAGCCCTTCTAGGGCTTACCATATTGGTGCCAGACTTAGTGTATCCATGAAATCAGCTTTAGCCTTAGTTCAGAGCTCCAGAACTCAAGCTATCCACTAGCCTCAGCCTCTTCCA